TGTCGGAAGTAACCCCATTGTAACCTGGGGAGAGGCTTTAATGGCATCTGAATCATTTCAATGTGGCTTTGAGGCTATAATCAATCACTTTAGCTTTATTTTGTCTACTGGTAATAGCCAATATGTACGAATGGAGCTGGTTCTTTGATTTTTGAGGTTGTAAGATTAGTGTTCAAGGGTCCCTTAAGTTGTGTGCTAAAGACGTTTAGCCAGATATTTAACCTGAATTGCATAGATAAGGCTGAATGCATGTCCATTTTTACGCAAGTGGAAAACCGGCACCTTGAAGTACCAAACTTTTGGTACTTCGAGAAAGTACAGTGGAAAAACGCCCTCTGTCTGGCTGTAGTATTGCTGAGCCACTAAGGGAGGGGGGGGGGGGGAGATTTCTCATTAGCGTGTTTCTGCTGAATGAGATGGAAATCAGATGTGAACAGGAAAACTCAGTCAGTCAGTCAGGGGGAAGCAAGCACTTTTCAGGAACATCCTCACTGAAAATGTCAGAATTAATCATGGCTTTAATTTCCATACAGGCTAGTAAGTGTGTGTCAGGGTGCGTTATGCATCAGGAGATGGCAAACGTGCGCACTGGAGCAGCGTCTGAGAGCTGGGGCGTACTGGGGGGGCTCCCGACCATCCGCACAAACCGTGGTGACCCAAGACCGCGAAGAGGCGAAAAGCAGGTTTGGCGAGAGGGCGATCAGGTGCTCCTCGTATTTAATCATTCGCATGGGTTCCCATTTTAATGGCACAATCGCAGTATGACAGGTTTCTCAAAGGTACAACGGCAGGATCCTTATTGGTGGCGTCCAAATCCTGAACCTCTGCATTCTGAGTTTTCCCCTGCAGAAGGGAGCCACAGGCTATGCAAATTCATATCAGGGTTAGGGTTAGCTATGGACGGCCATACACGTCTGGTTATCAGACGGTTTGTTTTCACCCATGCAGTTGGCTATTGCTGCCTGGTGGATTCCCCATCATCATGTGGCATCTGCACCCTCCCTTTGAATTAAAATCGACCCACAGTTCAAGCCAAGAGGAGAAAGGCAACGCAAACTGGGGCCAGCAGAGCGACCAGGTCTTTATAACCAAAGGTGGACATTTCAGGTCCAGAAAATAAAAATCCAGACCAGAATATTGTTTCATCCAACCAGTTGAGTACTCTGTGACTCTGACTCTTTATGCTCAGCTGGTTGGCTGAAAAAGAAATCCTGGTCTGAATTTTTACTTTCTAGACCTGAAATGTCCACCTCTGTTTATAACCAACTACTAGTCTAGAAACTTTACTGGCAGTCATTTTCTCCCAAGGTAGAGAGTATTACTGCTTTTAGGTGTGTGAAGGTGTGGCACAGGCCTGATTAGCTATCAAATCTTCAAGCCACAGATCGTCGAGCGTTGGTAGCTCTTATATATCACAGACCGGACCCTGCTATCATCCATACTGTGAGGTTGTCCGTTTTGAGAGTCTATCCACATAGCATATGCACAAAAGGGGAGCAACGGGGGAGAGATTAGCATATTTCACATGCCAGGCATGTATACTGCATGCTGTGGCTACGTATTGTAGTGTCCACGTGCCTTCCATCCCCTCCCCTTCTCCACGCAAGGCCTCTGTTTGAAATCACCCTGAACGCTGATGGATAAATGCGTACTGATAGGCCGAGAGCAAGCACAGTCATGGCTGGCTAACGGAGCGGCCTAACAAACGAGTAGCTGACAGACCTGTGCTGTCATTCCGGGCTTTCCCCTCTGCATGTCCCCACTGACGCATTTAAGGCACTTCCTGGAGGATTAGTCCCTTTTGTCTAACACGACGGTGCTGACTGATTGATCGCCACTGTCATCCACAGTTCTGTGGATTGTGCTCATTTCCCTGGGCCACCAGATCCTGGGGTAGCTGTCTCTCCGCACTAGTGGACTTGACTGTTTTGAGAGCGGAGCCTCTGGTCAAGATCTGTCACGTTCTTCTGATCTGAAACCCCCGAAAACACTGGCTTGCTCTCCACTCTTATGCTTTTTGTCTAATGCCACCCGCCGTCTGTTAGGAAGTAGGCAGTGCCGATATTGTTGACTGACATGTGCATAGCTAAGGCAGTGTCACTGCCCGTCTGCACACAGTGAGGTCTTCTTTGACCAAAGTGCCTTCAGTTGGCCGCGGGCATTTTTGCTGACTCACTGTGGTCTGGCAGCTTGTTGATTAAGTCACTTTCCACTTAACAGCTCTCAAATATCCGCCGTTGCTCGTCAGCTAAAGTATGGGGAGGCGGGGGGTATATTCATGACCTTGAAGAGCTTGTTGACTTGTTGAGTCTTTTCGGCATCCTGAGGTGCACTTTTCAGCCCGAGGCATATTCAAAGAGGCCATGCTCACCCAGTGCCCGCATTGTGTGAAGGAAAGTCTCAGCTGGAGATGGGCGCCAGAGTGTTAAGAGCATATGTGGCTGAGATCGCAGACTTCCCGCGTCCCTCTTGCAGTCTGGAGTAATTGGGGCCGAGCAGGCCAGAGTGCTATTGTTTTTGCAAAGAAAAGATTGATTAAATTCAGTTTGTCTGGATTACTGTGGGCTTCAGCAGGGCTCAAAACTCAGTAGGGAAAGGCCGTGTTACAAAGGGCTAAGCTTTGCTCTGTGACGAGCAGAACACATCTGGAACCAAAAAGCAGCACCACATTTTCCATATTTACATGTTGTTTGTGCTTCACACTTTCTGTCCGCCTTTATCACACGGTAATCAGACCTGTAGAGTCACTGATTCCAAACTATGCAGCTCATTTGACCTGGGGAGTGGGTGGAAATCGCGGTGACTTCACACACTACGTGGGGGGGGGGGGCGTCGTGTCGCCGTGCCGCAGCCACTGGCTCCACTTCCTGTACATGGAGTTCGTAAGCATTCAGGACCAGGCCGCTCCCAGGGCATGCTCAAAGTAATGAGCCGGAATTAATTTCCCAAAATGCAGTGCAGGAACCAAGAAATGCCATCAACGGTGCATTTATTTGTGCCTTGCCTGTAATGAATGTTTGTGTGTGTGTGTTTTTGTGTTGTTCTCTTGGTGGGCTTATTGAAGAGGAATGTTTGTTCATATCCCAGGGTATGATCCCCACTGCGCCGAAACCTCATTTGTTCGACGCGTTTCAACTGCTCAGAAGATTTTAAATACGCTCATTGATATGCATCGCTGTGTTATAATTGAATCAAGGGCGGAAAACCGATATTCAGATACGATCTCTGCGAAGGCTGGCTACCTGGTGCGTTTAAAGCACCCGCTCACAACGCGCATTACAGCCGGCGTCGTCACGGCTACGGAGACACGCGTCTTTTGGCACGGCTAATATTTCCTTGTAAGCTGCGATGATTGCTTGAGAAGGTGATGTGTTTTTTTTTTTTTTTGCCAAGTTAAAAGCATTTTCATCTTGCCGCAGTTGCTGCTCGCCCCTGCATGGCTCACACTCAGTTCATAAAATCGGGCAGTCAGGGCACTGCAGGGTCGCAGGAATGACAAACATGCTTCATGCATGTAGCCCGTAATAATACTGCCCCTCTATGCCTCTCTTTTGTTGCAGTTTGTTAGTATTTTTTACTGTATCTCCTACTACTGCCTGCTGAATAATGGGGGATTGTTTACAACCATCCCACAATGTACTGCTTGTCCTTTTATACTGTTGATACATACAGATTAGCCTTTGCCCTCTTCCACTATAATTCCGCACCACCCTTACAAGCACTGATGTTCAGCTTATTATTTCATTGGCATAATAAACATATGCTTGGAAGAAATCTGGGTAAATATTCATCAGAATTGTGCTGTGGGGATGTTTATTTCTTACAAGTGTGTGCCGGCTCAGTTTAAACTGGGGTGTTACAAAGGCCTCGTTTTCTGGCTGCTGCGCTTGTGGCTGCAGGAGGGACTTTCAGATGGGCTTCCAGCTGCCAAACCCCCTGGAAGGTGCGTTTTCTGGCTGTGTGTGAGCCCTGCCCCCCCCCCTCCCGCCGAAGCCTCAGGTTTAATTAGTATCTTTAACATGCTCCTAACAAGCACTCAGATGCTGGGAAACATCAGCCCTCGGTGACGGCTCTGGGCTGCTGGGCTGTAAGCGCCTGTCTGGCCGTGATCGTCATCCCCCCCCCCCCATCGTGGTGTTGCTGTCCTGCATTTAGGCCTCCCTCCCACATGGCAGCCCTCTCTACCCAAAAGTCCGTCACTAAGGGCATCCCCGACAGCACCTAGGTGAATAAAAAACGTGCCACGGGCTCAAAGCGCCGGTCAGCTCCACAGCTGCGTGATGCAGACAGTAGGAAGGCGTCTCCTTTCCTGAAAAGGTTGCTTTTCTGTCTGAAATTACTTTGTCAAAGAAGATAATAAATTAGACTTTGTTTACTCGCTTTAGGTAAAAACTCCACACGTCTAAACACAATGAAGACTACCTCAAAGGAGCATCCAATTAAGAAATTTAAATAAACCTACAGTCTCCGTTCCTCCAGGACTTCTCAATGGATGTTGCTGTGTACTGATATAATGGAGAATAATCGTGCATTACTATAATTTAATTAGCATAATTAAAAACCAATCAAATGTGGCAACTGTTGACATGAAATCTGTTTCAATACCTGATACTTAAGATGAAGCTGTAATACAGGACAAATGACTTGGGGAGAGCATGTAGTTACCAAAAAAAAAGGGCACGTTGAATCAGTTTCTGATTTGATGTGTTAATGGCTTTTTTGTGTTTATGTTTCTCAGTGTTTGGGTAAGCCTGTGTAGCAAAACCTGGTGTCTCCACCGCCTGGAGGGTCTCGTGGCCGGGACTGTGGCTGGCTGTGAAATAATACGTGAGCTCTCCTCTTTGTGGTTCAGACCTCCTGTGGACGGACACCTCCCCCGGGCAGCGCAGAGCCCGATCGATGTCTTTGATCCGCAGCAGCCGGGGGCTGTCTGAATGTGGCAGGCGTGACATTGAAACGGCTGTTCTGACACTCACCTCCTCTCCCTGTCTCCTCCACAGTGCTCTTTGGCCAGTTTGTCTTCTTTCAAACTTCCCTCAACGACGTGGTGGACATCTACGACGGGCCGACCCAGCAATCGCCCCTGCTGTCCTCTCTGTCCGGCTCCCACTCAGGTGCGACTCGCTCTCCCATCCTTCCATCCTGTCCCAGTTTGCAAAGAACCTTCCGGAACCTTATCGCTCTTTGTTTCCTGTCCCTTGGGTCTCATTACTTATGGAGTCTTGCGATGACCCCCCCTCCCCACTCCACCCCCGAAGTCAACCTGGTCTTGTTATGAGGCACCTAGAATCAATAGTACACTTCCAGGAAAATCCCACAGTCCTGTGACTGTCACACAGCCACCATTAAAACCTTGGCGCATCAGCTGCCTGGGGTGGGTGCGTCCCAGGCCCCCCCCCCCAATCCTGCCATGGTGTCGGGGACAGCCAGCCGGTCGGATCTCTGCCGTTCTGGCTGTGAAGGTGTGTGGAACAATGGCCCGAGACCTCTCAGCAGAACGTTCTGTTATTCGGACCCAGGGTGCTCCATTAGCGAGTGGGAGGCTGCACGGCACCACCGAATGACTGAGGGTTCATAAAATCTCCCAATAACTGCTGGCCAGAGAGACCGGACTCTGGGGGAACGGGGGGGGTTGGGTGTCGGAGGGGGTGTAGTACCCCTGGGAGTCTCATTGTGAATAGTTTGCTCGTGGATAAATGGGTTTTGTGCAAACCCTGCGAGTTGGTTTCAGGTTGATGAAAGGCCCAATTACCAACAGCCTGACTGCCTTATCATCTGACAATTCAATATCGCTATATTGGGGACAATGTTAGTGTAGGACTTAAGGACCGTGGGACATGTGACCAGCAGTCTCAAAAGGGGGCATTGCTGTTGGAGCCTGGTGGGAAGGGAATGCAACATCAGCTGCTGGAGCAGAAATAGTCAGCTGGGTCCATGGCTAAGGTGCAGGCTGTATGGGTATGATGTTGCTGAAGCTCAAATCTGCCTACTAAGCAACTGTTCAAACAATAGGCCACATTGGGCAGCTTGGCCTTATTTCTGAGGGAACAGAGCCGCCCGAGTTTATTGGAAAAGTTTCACATTACAGGAGCAGGCCGAGGAGAACTCACACGGGTGGTTTTGAACATCCATCACTCTTTTGTTCCTACAATTACGGAACCCTAAAGCACGCATCAACCTTCATCCGTCAGCCGACTACAAAGGGGATCGTAGCAGCTAGCCGGCGCACGAGACGGAGGGATCTCACCAGCGCACGTGCAAAACTGAAGCGGCTTTCAGCTCGTACTTGAAAAATTATAATGTCTCAGCAGCGGCACTGCAGACGCGGGGCTGCACGGACAGTGATGGAGAGTGAGCAGGGAGAACGAAATGAGGTGATAAACACTCATTGGCAATCAATAAAAGACAGACGCCACTTATCAAAGCAGCCACCCTGCCTCCCTGTGCCCTCTGCGCATTCAGGATTTCATTTTCCTCCCTCATAAAGGGCCACTTGTGAGGAAGAGTACAAAAGGCGCATCAAACTTACTGAGTCGTTATGACGAGATCTGCACTAATATGTGAGTCTGTGTGCTCTGTGAGTCACATCACTCCTGCATGTAGACACAGAGTGCCCGTCAAAAGTTTGGACACGCCAGTCCACCCACAAAGGACGATGATAGCGTCTCGCATCACATGACCTAGCCACCTGACCTCAACACAGTAGAAGTGGTTTTGGAGGAGAGTGAGGAAAAGCGGCCATTGAGTGCTCAGCATGTATGTGGGAGCTCCTTCAGGACAGCTGGAGAAGCATCTCAGGAGGCCACGTCATGGAACTGGAGTAGAGGAGACAGTGGGGTCACCCAGTCCCCAGAGCAATTGGGGTTAAGGGTCTTGCTTAAGGGCCCAATGGTGCCATCACCATGCAATTTGACCTGACAACCTTCTAAGTCCCAACCCACACAGCTGCTCCCCCCCCCCCCACAAAATTTTTTATTTATTTTTTTGGTCTGTGCATAATTGCGTATAAAGTTATTCTATATTTTTGATGCCTATATAATTATTCTAAAATATAGAGAATAGTACAAATAAACCTTTATATAGGCATGTTTGTCCAAATTTTTGACTGGTACTGTATCTGTGTGTATCTGTTGTGTATACATGTATATTCTTCCTCCCCCAGGAGAGTCTTTGCCCTTAAGTACTGGAAACCAAATAACCATCAAGTTCACCATAGTGGGTCCTGAAACCTCCAAAGGCTTTCACTTTGTGTACCAAGGTGGGTGTTTCTTTTTAAATCAGCTGTCTGTAAGCATTCCCATACTGGGAGCTGCGATCTGTGTATTAGAGTGAAATAGGCATGAACAAAGTCTCTCTGAAAGCAGCCATCATCAGGAATGTAACTTCATCTTCTCAAAAGCAGGCCAGTGAGTCACATGACTGTAGTGTACTTCCTTGTAAAAACTCCGAAAGTCGAAATGATCAAGCTTCTTAAATTCTGCAAAATGTACGCATTTTATAATCCCATCAGTGCGGGACACGGCACCTTTTTCGGTTTAAAAAAAAAAAACTTGTGTGCTGACACTTTCCAGTCTTTTGGAATAATTGCAAATCTCCGCAGTTTGGATGCCAGTACGACTCACTCTTGAAGCTTTAAGTCAGATTGGGGTTATTTTTGGTGCAATTATTTGTCGTTCTTGTCAGAGCAACAGGAAAAGCTGTGTCATTGTGTGACCATTAAGGTTATTGAATCTTATTGCAATGTCAAAAATAAACACGCACCATGCTTGTAGGACCGATTGAAAAATACATTTTGCAGTTTATTTTTGAGAGACAGGGTCTCTGGCTGGTGGTCCTCTAGAGTTCACAGTTTACATTATAAAGGGCCAAACTAAAAAGTATTTTGGTTTCTTGTTTAATCTTATAGTAAGTGATGTCAATTGTAAGGTGTGTCAGATAAGCCATATTTTTAGAAAACCTTTTAAATATTTATCTTAGCCTCCAAACTTATGCTGTCTGGGTAGTAGGATCTTTTCTTAGCATTCTGATAAGTCTAGACGTTTCTGTGTTGCTAAGGAGAGGACATTTGACGTAGCCATATACACACACAACCACACAGAAATACTTCAAACCGGGCCTTCAGACAGCTTCTGTCAAGATCCAAATATACCCAGATGCCAGGCTCTTTTTAAGGTGTACATGCTAAGGAAGGACAGACATTTGTGGCTATTGCTGCTGTTGAATTTCCTTAGTAAAAGGCATTACTTTTACAAATGACCATGACCCAAGTAAAATAAAATAGGCAGAATACATAAAAGAATGCAAATGCACTTCTGGCTACTACAATATTTATTTAAGGTCCCTTTTTACAAATTGATGCTGAAGTTAAGTGGACATCAGAGACTCATATATGTAACTACTGTTGGTTAAGATGCAGTTCCTCAGGCTCTAGCACAGAATCACGGCCTTGTCATGTCACCGTTGGCTATTTTCACGCAATTGAACGGAAATGTGCAACTGTAAATAACTTCCCCAGGGAAACAAGTGTAGGAAGTGGAAGTTGACCCATTCTGAGCTCCTGTTCTGGGTTTGGCCCACTCTGCCCTGCATGCCCTAGCCGTCCCCAGGACCAGTGCTACGCAGTGCAGCTCTGTGCCGGAGCCCCGTTTCGGGAAGAGGCTCGGCAATGACTTCGCCATGAGCGCCGTGGTGCTCTTTGAGTGCAACCCCGGCTACACCCTGCATGGCTCCACAGCCATCCGCTGCGAGACAGTGCCCAACGCCCTGGCCCAGTGGAACGACACGCTGCCCACATGCGTCGGTGAGTAGCGCCGCCCCCACCCCCCCACTCTTCTGAGCTGATGGCTTTACCCTTTCATTTTCCTATGCCGACTGACATGATGTTCTAGAAGAACCAGTGTGGTGGCCAGGTTTTAAAGAGAGCGCTGTGGAGAGTTAAAGGGGAGGGGGGAAAGATGGCATTGCTCAGAAAACTGTGACCGAAAAGGAGAACAAGAGCTGCCTTTCTGAGAGCAGTTATTAAACAGTGAAGGGCGAATTTCAAAACGTTTTTATTGTTACATCCCCACTGTCATTTTCAGTTACAGTGGAGCTCGCGGGGTACTTATCTCTGCGGGGGGAAGTACTCAAGAACCACTGTGGATATAGCTTTGAAACATCAACCGTTTAGAAGAACCGTAGAATAAATTTTAAATAGTGTCTCCTCTTCAGGCCGTTCACATTCTGATCCCATTTCCCGTCTTCCTAAGCTGCCTTAACCATTGTGAACAGCCTCGCATCTGCTTTTAACTCTGTGACCTGCCACTGGTAGAAACTTTTCGNACCTGCCACTGGTAGAAACTTTTCGGCCATGTTGTGGTCTGGACATTTCCGTGAGCCCCCCATCCCGCAGCCACCCATCCCGCTGCCCCCCCCCCAGCCCAGCCCTCATCCTCACATCAACAGGCTGGCAGGGGTCTCCTTAAACATCCCCTGTCAGAATGTCAACCAAGGAGTCTCTCACGTACCCTTTACCACGTCGCTTCTTAGAACCAAAACAAAACACACGAATCTGAAGCGTAAGGGTCATTACGGGCAAGTGCTGTTGGGCGTCACGTAGTGCCGTCTGCGTGACATGACATGGTCTCATGTTAAAGGGTCAAAGGTCAGCAGTATCATCCCCTATTACCTAAGCACCTGCCGCACTCTAATATCAGCTGTCAAATATGGATGAGCCTGAAATTGCTCTGAAGTGAATGTGTTTAATAATTTAAGTGGCCAACCTGAAGACATTGAACAGTGGTGCCCACCCCCCCACCCCCGAATACATAAAGCATTTCCTCTCAGCTATTGGACATCAATCACCGTGTCTCCACCTGCTCTTAGCTATTTAAACAGTGTGATTGGCGTTGACCTCTACATCATCCCCATGTCCTTGACAGATAGCATCGGATATGTATGGGGGATAGCGCTCCATCTGCATTAGTGTCCCGCCGCCGGCTCTGATATTGACAGATCCGCCGTCCCACTGCACGCCAGGCTGAAGACAATAGCTGGCAAGCCCTCGACAAACAGGGGAAAATTGCTTAAGAGCACGTGGCTCCGCTGGGGATATGAAAGGCGTGTAGCGCTTTCTCTTCACGAGCTGACATTTACATTTAAAGTAATCTTTGTCCTTCTGAAAGCTTCATCCCTTTTTATTGAAAGGAACAACTTAAACCGGCAGCTATATATGTGCATAGAGGGGAATCAATGAGCATAAAGACACGCTGGTACGGTAAGCAGGTCTGCCGTAATCCTTTTACGGGTGTTAATCGATAATTCGGCACTTAATCCTGTATTAAATGCAATCTGTGCATTTAATTTGTTCAGGAGTGGTGCTGTCAGGTCAAAAAGCTGACATAGTCGCTGAAATTTATCAGTTATGAATACTATGCACACCACTAAACTATTATCCCCGAATGACAATGTTGGGAGGCAAGGGCCTTGCTAGAGAATTCAGGCCCCATAAAAGGCCAATATCATATTGCACCCCCCCCCAATCCAGACCAATACAGTTGTGTTGTAAGTTTTTTCGGGCCTCTGTCACCCCGGGGCCCTTGGAATGGCCTTAATGTCCCCCCCCCCCGCCAATTGGGAGTGTAAACAATGAGTAATATGGATTTTTATTGTTTTATGATGCTGTATGATGCTATTGCTAGTTTATAATGGTGTAAGTATACACATATTTTATATACTGAGTTCTCTGAATCACCCAGAGACAGCCAGATAATGCCGGATGAATTGCCTTATTATGGATGATCGTTGCTGTTGTCTTATTATTTTCATCCATTCTTCATCTTCTAGCTGCTTATTGTGGTCAGGTTCCCCTGGGGGGGCTTGAAGCCCATTCCAGGCAGCACAGGGCCCAAGGGGTTGGCCCCAGTAAGACAGACTGGCTAACCTTCCTCAGTGTTTGAAGGACTTGCCCTTAATATGAAATGAACACATGAAAAGATGTTTTCCAGTCTCTCTGAGGCTTGCTCTTCACGCACGATGTGTGTTATTCACCACTTTACCGCCAATAATGAAGTTGCCCTAATCTCCATTCAAACAGCAGCCATCAGTCAATCAAGCAGATCCGCTGCTGCTCTCCTGTACACAAAGCCGGGCCCCGCGTCTGTGTGCACAGGAGAAGCAGAGTTGACGCACTTGATCTCATGACTGGCTGCAGATGACAGCAAAAACACCGGGGAGCTCAGGTCCCGGGAGGAACTCGACACGGCGCACTGAATGGCTGATGCCATCGGGCCCAGTCCGTCAAGAAAGAGGAGAGATGATCCAGTGTGCCGCATGGCTCTGCCGCATGTGCAGCTGGAGCGCGCCTCGCCGCATCCATGCCTCGCATGGCTCTGCCGCATCGGCTGCCTCCTCGCCTCCTCGCCGCACCCATGCCTCTCATGGCTCTGGTGCATGTGCAGCCGGAATGCGCCTCGCCGTGCCCATGCCTCTCATGGCTCTGCCGCATGTGCAGCCGGAGCACGCCTCGCCGCTCCCCGTGCAGGTCCGGGCTCACAGGCGCATCGTTCAGAAATTCCTCGTTTGAGGTCATAGTCTTTTCTTTACTTTTACACCTGTCTCCTAGATGTTGCTAGACAGTTTGGGGCCCCCAAAGAATATCACATTGGGCCCCCAGCCCAGAGCAATCCAGTTATGTTTCAAATATTATAGAGCTCCTGTTACTCACTGGTTTTTGGAATCATCCTCACTTTGTCCCTTTTATAGGGCCCCCGCACATCCCCTGTGCTTTTATTTCAAAGAGATTCTTTAAATTTAAAGATTTTATTACTGTTATGTTACTGACTAATAAAAGGCTCAAGTAAATAATAAAAATATAATATTAATATAATATATAATAATAGTAATAATCAAAATAACAGTATTGGAAGTGGAAAGTCGACATGAGAGTATATGAGAGAACGTACCGCAATCTTGATGACGTCATGATGACAGGCAGGTCGCCCCACCAATGAGAAGCCTAGGGATCAAGGTCAAGCAGGCTATTGGCCAGCAGAAGATGATTTTTGAGAGCCTAAGTAGGCAAATGGCAAGGGTGAAATAACACGCATGAATAACACGTATCTTTGAAAAGTTTGACTATGGGGTGCTGGGCTACTCAACCCATGAGAGCAAAATGAGTTTCATAGGGATGTAAACGTAAAAGCCAAGCTTTAGTCAGTAGTTGCAAATAATTTATGTTGATATTGGTACTGTAGGTAGTACACGTAACAGAGATATTTCTCTGCATGTGTAATATACAGTATATATAAAATACACACACTATATATTACTCTTTAGCATTTCAAAGAGCATTTTATTTAGCATTTCATGATAACCTACTGAACCGTATGAGTTAAAAAAAGGAATAATCAAGCCACCAGCAAATCTGAAGCTGCTTGGAGGCGTAATTAGTTGATATATTGGAATTAAGCACATTCACCGATCCAGCTAGAACTGTAACCTCCTGCACATACTCAGGGAAGCTTAGCGCTCGCTGTAACATGAAATGAAATGCCTATTACTAGTTATTCTGTGCTGTCATGAGTTGTTTTTCATTTGCAGCTGGGGATTCACGGCACGACTTTTTCACATTATGGGCTGAATTGTTTACATAACTTGTGCCGTAAAAAGGCTTGTAAATAACACCGTATTTAAGGAAGGTGTAGAATGTGCTTGGTTGGTGCACTCATTAGTTCATGTGTTAGCCTGGTGAGATGTCACTGGTACACAGCAGCCGTTCCTGGGAGCGTCCAGGCCGACCGTGAGTCCTTGGGGGCGGATCACAAGATAGGCGGGTCCCAACAGATCAGTAAAGAGCCCATCCACCGCATCCTATCCCGTCAGCCTGATGATCCCTGCGGCTTCCCGCCATGCGAACCAGCCCCGAATCCAGCCAAGGGTGTGATGAGGAATGAAAGGCTTCACCAAGGTCCGACGTATTTTCATAGCCGGGAAATATGGAAGTGTAGAGGATTTCAGAAGCCCTGGTCCTGATGCAGTACGTCTCACGAAGTGCTGGCAGATTGAGCTGTGTTTGGACAGCCTGTCAAGACTTTGTCACACTGTCAGGTCCCACAGAGACGTTCATACTTTGCATGAAATGTGAAGGTGGAAAGGAATATTCTATGGAATTATTGTATCTGCCCAATGCTGTCTGAAATATTCCTCAGTCCCAATTCTTGGGCAAAACCCATCCATCCATTTTCTAACTGTTTTTCTTGGTCGGGGTTGCAGGTCTTTGAGCGAAATGTAGCCTTTAATTATTTAAACAAGTGCTAGCTGTGAAATCCATACCAATTGGACCTCAATTAACATCGACATGAAGCTTGTTAATAAAAGTGTGGCATGTCATGTTAAATCGATTTCACCAACGCTTGGGAACGTTGCCTTTTGTCAAGTCCGGGGAAGCCCGTGGCTCTGGGATCTGGCCGTTACACACCTACTTCTTACATAGGAGTAAAATGATGTTATCAGCCATGTTGTGTGAATATAAAAGTGAAAATCTCATTGTTGGCAATTGCATGGATTGTAATATTATTACAAAAGCTGTTTGAAAGAGTGTTGTGTTAAGAATCATACTTCTTTCACCACATTTCTTTCATTGTATTGCCTTATTTGCTGAATCTTCATAAATTGCTACATAAAAATATAATGTTGTTTGTGTCGCACTGTAACTCTTCACCATAAACTGACACACATTACTGTTGTAAATGATCGGCGAGGACATTCCTGCTATGCCAGAAGCAGTACCTTATTTGTTGCAGTACCTTAAACATCTTGTTTCTGGCCTCGTCAAGTTGCCCTTGAGATTAATTCCTTACACTTCGGTTGCTGTTGTTGGGACTGATGGGTGTGGGCTTAGCGGCAGCTGACATCCCATAATGCTCCCCTCCCAATATGTCCCACAGTGCCCTGCGGAGGCATTTTGACAGCGCGCAGAGGGACCATCCTGTCTCCCGGCTACCCCGAGCCATACGACAACAATCTCAATTGCGTATGGAAGGTCTCCGTGCCAGAGGGCGCTGGAATCCAAGTGAGAGACGCCGTTTGAAGTTTGTCTTACGCATTTGAGCTCTTAAAACTATTGCCAGTGTAAAAGGCTGTGATAAAGGGAATTTTTAATACAGGGTGAATAATGAATAAAGCAAATGTTTTATTCAATGTGGAAAACGTATGTTGAAGCTGAGCTCCTGTTGTGTATTAGTTTTCCGTCAGTGGATTTATCGAATGAGATGTTTTTTGTCCTTTTGCGTAATTTCTGCTTGGGGATCCATGGGAATGGGATGTATGTGTGGACTGACCTCGGTCGCTTTCGCCTCCCAGATTCAGGTGATAAGTTTCGCCACAGAGCACAACTGGGACTCCCTGGATTTCTACGACGGAGCAGATAACAATGCGCCAAGACTGGGCAGCTACTCAGGTGTGTTCTGGAACTTTCCAACAGGCCACACCTCCTGCATTTTCCCTGTCGGATATGTTTACTTACACAAGGTTGTCGACTTTGGACAGCTGGCTGCCTTGAGATTTTAGATTTGAGACAAGTCAACACACTCATTTACATAGCAGTTTTATTGCCTTGTAAATAGTCTGTACAGTTTGCAAAGTACCCCACCGCTTTTGATGTAGCTATTTTTAGATTTATAATGGAATAATAATAATATCTTAATAATAATAATCTTCCCAAGCCTAAATAATATAGATTTGCCGTAAGATTTCTTGCTTGAGCGTGAGTGTCACGCCAGACGTGTGAGAGTTGGCAACCCTGCTTACAGATCATGTAATTATGTAGTAAATCCATAACAGGGTGGATGGAAGTCTCGTTAATCTGCTGGTTAGATAGACAGGTGTTTCCAGGTGTTGGGGTGGATTAAGGCAGGACATGGATGTGCATACTGTATATTCACAGGTGCTGAGTGATGGGCTTTGATCCCAGGCTTGGATTCATTGTGACAGAGAGAACTTTCGTTACAGCTGTACTTTTGATCAGGACCTAATAGGCAGAATGTGTCCCTCCACAAAAAGGATGTACGCACATTTTCAAAGGATTACCAGCAAGCAGGCAGGGCTGTCTCTGTAAAGTATCAGATATATTGAATTTTTATCACAATTTAAATGGAATAAAGTACATGAGCAGGGAGACCTTTTTAATGTCATCATGGCGACACTGAATACAGGAAATCGATGTGAATTTTATGCTGTGCGCCATTGGAGCATCATTCCAGCTGGTGATGGGGAGGGAACCGTCCCAAACCTGTGTGCTTGATGCCGCTTAAATCTAAGTGTCCCCCTTTTGTTCTGTAAAGGGTAACGATGCAAACACATGATTTACCGCTTATTGTCCTTCTCTCGGTACCTTCAGCTGGGGGATTGGGGGGGGTGGGGGTGGTCACCGGTCCTGAAGAATTGCAGCGTAACCTGTTTCCCTGTTCCTCAGCTCATAATTACTTTAAGTAATTGTGGATAGAAGCCGACTCGCCGAGTGTTTCACCTGTCAGTCAGTGTTAATTAAAATGGATTATTTAAAAGCTGCAGAAGCGTGGCCCTCGAGAGCCCAAGACGTCTGCCCCTGTAACAGGGAATTATAAGGAGGTCTTAAAGGCAAATCCTCGCTTACTCCCCAGGGAAAACGCAGTATTTAGCGGTGATATCAGGGGCTTTGTACGCAAACGTGCTGCGCTGTCTTCTCACGCTCAGGAAGCGCTCGATATAACGACCAAGGGCCCCCGATGCCTTTTTGGGGTGGGGAGTGGGATGGATGTTTGCCGGTGATTTATCCCACCTTGGAGACCGCTCCCCTCTTTCTGTCTAAGGACAATCCCATTGCATCAGCACATTTAATCCCTGAAACCTTGTGGCGTGTAGATATCTGTGGCACAAAAACGTTTTGTTTCAAAGGTCAGAGTCTCGTGGAGCATTTCAGGAGTTCAGAAGGTGCCCACGCCGTTGGTGTGTGAAGGAATCTGCGGAGCTTTCCTGGATAACCGAGAGCCTGACTCATTGTGGGTTATTGTCAGTCCTTTAGGGGACCACAGCTCAGAGCCTCATTGTCTGTCACAAGTGGCCCACGGGAATGTGCGCTGACCCCTGCTGGCCAGTGCCACGGCACGCCCACCACTTCCTTCACACAGCAAGGAGCTGGCCATCGCCTCCCCCTGTTACTGCCTCGGGTGTTTGGCCCCCTGACTCTGAGGGCACTTTGAAATTCGCAGGCCGTAAAATGACTCTACGATGGTGTTTCCCAATCTGGTCCCTGGGGACCCACATGCAACCTGGGTGGAAGCAAAAATGTGGACTGTCTGGCAGGGAGCTCGGAGGGAGAAAAAACGTGGACTGTCTGGCAGGGAGCTCGGAGGAGCAAAAACGTGGACTGTCTGGCAGGGATCTCGGAGGGAGCAAATATGTGGACTGTCTGGCAGGGAGCTCGGAGGGAGAAAAAACGTGGACTGTCTGGCAGGAAGCTCGGAGGGAGCAAAAATGTGGACTGTCTGGCAGGGAGCTCGGAGGGAGCAAAAATGTGGACTGTCTGGCAGGGAGCTGGGAGGGAGCAGAAATGTGGACTGTCTGGCAGGGAGCTCGGAGGGAGCAAAAATGTGGACTGTGTGTGGGTCCCCAAGGACCGGATTGGGAAATACCGTTCTACAGGAACAACAGGGATGCGGCTGGTATCGATAAACTCCGCATCACAATACAAGGCCTTTCTTCCCACCTTTCATGTGGAGTCCCATAGTTAACATGGCCGTTAGTTACCATAGCTACAGTACCACTAGCTCCTCCTGCTGGCCATACTGTGCCAAGGCAGACTAACGCAGGGTGGCTCAGAATCTATCTCTCTATCTGGATCTGCGCTTAGTGAGTACGCTGCTGTTAATGTGTTAAGCACATTCAGCTAAGTGATGTGGAGGTGTCGCTTAGGTGAGATGTTAATTTGAATTAGCTGTTTGTGTTTATCGTGTTACAGGGAGTCTGTGTCTGATCATTTAGTGCAGCACGCTGCTGTAAGCACAACAGGAGCTGCGCAGCGTGGCCTGCTGACGCTGCCCGGCCTGCTCTGCAGTCCATGCAGGCAGCTCCTCGCGGTCTGCCCAGAAGACGCTCTGTCCTTGGGACTAGACCGCTTTGATGATGAAGTCCTTTCCCCTTCAGGCACCACCATCCCACAGCTTTTGAATAGCACTTCAAACAACCTGTACCTGAACTTCCAGTCCGACATCAGCGTCTCTGCAGCCGGCTTCCACCTGGAGTACACAGGTATGTCGGGATCACGCCTCACGCCCCCTGCAGGTCTTCTAGGGTAACTCATGCTCATTGAATATATCAAGCCGAAGTATTGGCTCGTAACCACTGGTCTGGGCTCACACTACTGCAAGCCTTTCTTTACTGTCTAGCCGGCCAGCCCAAGCCATTTCGGTCTGGGATCTTTCCTTTTTTCTGCTTTATAGGTTGTTTGTGTGAAGTTTACGCTTGTGCCAATCAGAATGAGGGACTGTTTTCAGAGATTTCGGAGTACAGTAACCAGAAGAAGCAGCGTGTTAATATTTCACGGACGGCTTGATTGCCCCCCGCTTTCCGCCGGAAGTGTTTCCTCGCATGTTTCTCAGTGGGCTGCCGTGTGGAGAAGGGGCCAACGTCGGCGGGGTCCGGGGGCCGCAGGCTTTGCCGACGGGCTCGGGATGGGAGCGGGCCCTGGTGTTCTCCGGGGCCAGGCGTCTCGAGCATGCGGCGCTCTTATTGCCCATGTTCTGCCGGCCCCCTGCTGGTCACAGACGGCATTGTTTGCTGAGCCCTCATCACTTTTCAGCTTTAAAACTGCTTCTGAAAACTGTCCATAATTTATTTATTTATTAAAATCTGCTGCATTAGATGCAATTAGTGACGTGATGGCTCACAGATCCGGTGTTGTGGGTTCCAATCCCACCTCGGGTCTCCTGTCACATGGGTTTTCTCCAGATACTCCAGATTCCCCCCGCAGTCCAAAGACATGCAGTTAGGATCATCTCTAAATAGCCTAAAAAGTATCAGAGTGAACATGTATATACCCTGCATTGGACTGACCTTCCATCCAATCTGTAGGGTAGCTTTGTGGCCTGATGGATGGATGGATGTGTGGGTGGATTAGATCCAACATACATACCATAAAATAAACAAAAAAATAACGTGGAGGAGTCCCAGTCTCTATCAGGTTTGTGGGTTTCAGTGTAATTAGAGAGTATTGTCTCTGATAAGCCCAGCTCACTGCTGTGCTATCAGGCTTCCGGCTGTTTGCGCAAACCCCGTTTGCTTTGCCTTTAGTAGTATCTGCAAGCCCCACTCATAATTATTCATTAGTTCCTTTCGCTGTTAACGTTTCCGTGGCTTGGCGGCGAATCTCCTGACCTAAAAACGCCACTGTCTGTCCTTCCCAAGCTATAGGCTTGGATTCGTGTCCGGAGCCCCAGACCCCCAACAATGGCGTCAAGGTCGGCGACCGCTACATGGTGGGAGATGTGGTGATGTTCCAGTGTGAGCAGGGCTATTCCCTCCAGGTGAGATCTTACGGAGCCACCGCGGGGCCCGCCCGGATGAGCATGTCCCGGGCTGCTCCTGCAGTTATGCCCCCCCCCCCCTTCCTGCTGGCATTGCCGCCCCCTGACTCTGGGGGGACAGCCCGGATGCCGACTGTGAGAGATGAAAGCTTTGTAGCTGGGTTCCCGTGGCGACGGGGCTGTATTGAATAACACATCACCTGTGCACCTGCAGTGCTCTGTTCACCCACCAGGGGGGGCTCCATCTCCACACCCAACACTAATTATCTTCAGTATTGGAAAGGCGGCACCATTAAACCATGGCATTTAAGGCCAGGTGTCCAGGAAGCCCTATCCGCTCCCTCATAACCGTCATTCCTGCTGTGTTCGTTCATTCTGCCTGTATACAGTATCATGCGTGCCATATCTGGGCACACAGTCTGTCTGCCTAACTAATTCCTCTTCCTGTCACCTCACAGGGAAACATGTACATAACCTGCATGCCTGGACCCGTGAGAAGATGGAACTACCCCGTGCCGCTCTGTTTAGGTATGTGCATGACGGTGGCGGGTATCAGCTAACTGTGATCAGCTGGTGGGTCACACACCGTCTCCTGCCCCAGCATTGGACAGACCCATCATTCGGGCTGTTCCCCTAATTAAAGTGTTATCATTAAGTGTTGGGGGGAGGTGTGTGGCTCAGTGGGATGGGCCTCTGTACCTGTCTACAGAGGGTTGTTGGTTCAAATCCCTTCCTCACTCCCACATGTGTGTTTGTGTGTGTCTCAAAGGAGAAAAAGACTGAATGTATGAATAGAAGCATTTCCAGAGTACTTGTGTTTATACTTGTGCGAACGGCAGGCGAGGCATCGTTACATCGCAGTTCCGTCATTAAACTCTGCGAACGAGGATTCAGTCACTGAGCAACTATATGCAAACAAGCTTTTATTTATAAAAGGAAAAAACAGGGAATGTTTTTTAATTAAATGAAACTGCATTAGTCCCAAGGCGACGGCTCGAGCGTGCAGCTGTAAATCATGGACGACTCTCGGCCCGTGACATCTGCTCGCACATCTTTTATGAAAAACCTCAAAAAGAGAGAGAGAGAGAGAGAAACTCAGAGTGTCTGATTTGCACACCAAATTACCAAAGGAATGGGGCAAGAGGGTGTCAGTCAGCAGAGATCTCAACAATATTAAAAATAAAAAATAAACAAAATAGCAAATGAAGATGGCAGGCATAGCACCAGACTTTATACATCTAAAGTAGGCCATTCATTTTTATCGGGTAAATATGTATTTTTGGCTATATGCTTTTTTCAATAAGATTTAGAGGAACTAAGCTGCAGTGTTTAAATGAGAGATTTCTTCCAGACATGTGACATTTGTATGTGACATGGCCACCATATTGAGCAGTGACCCCACTGGTTCACTGTTCTACTGTTAACCAAGTTGCAGTTAATGATGTCACAGTGGCTGCACGGATTCCCCTCTAGGTCATAATCAGTCCTCGGCAACAGTGGTGCCAGAGCCTAACTCATTTGTACCAAAGTCCCACTATCCAGCCTCAGTGAAAGCTAACCTTCTGAGAGTCACGCGGGCGTCTGTCGAAGGCGGCAGACTTGGTGCGATCGCAGCCGCCAGGAAACCAACGGACGACTATGGCACTAGGCGCCAGAAAACGCTTTCCGCTGCCGGAGTCTACAGTTCTCCACGCCACGGCAGAAAACAGGCAGCTTCACTAGCTCAGCGGCTGGGTCTGACACCAGCCGCCACGGTCCCATAATTCCCACCAATATACCGTCAGTTCACACGCCGTCCATGAAGCTGTGACAAACTAGCAACTTATGCTAAATATAACTAACTTTTCTGCCAGGATTCACAGTTTCCAGTGAGCAGTTTTTAATCATCTTGACTGCTGTTCACCTTTTCATAGCACCAGCTTGGATTTGTGGGAAAGGACGGATTAGAAAGCGGAGAGCGGGGGGGGGAGGCGCTTTTTCAGCGGGAATGTTACTGAGCTGAAGCATTTGTATTTTAAGTTAAATAGTGAATGGCAGAAGGCAGTCAGGTTGCATGGAGCTCAAATATGTATTTTATCTTTTTTTGGCGTGAGGTGAATTCATTTATTTTGAGGAAGGGAAGAAAAGAATAGTTGACATGATCTGGAATCAGACAACAGGCTGTTGAATAATATTTTAAGGCTGTGGAGCATTCTGCCCATTTTCCAGGATGCCGGCGCAGCCGCTGTTGCAGGTGGCGCCGCGTGATGCAGGGGTCCTGGCTTTCCGCTACGCTTATCACGTCCTACGGCCGGGCCACGTGCCTTTATTGTGAAGGAACCTCACCGAAGGTCAGCTTGGGAACGAGGGGCAGGCAGTGCTGTCCGTCAGAGCCAGGGGCGCCGAGCGGCTCTGCTTTGATTCCGACGACGGGAGCCCAGCGGGATCCTGCGTGTTTGCGACTCAGAGGCTACAGATTCCCGTATCTGCCGACATTTCGGGTCACGCTGTCGAGGGCTGTTTGCAGGAGCCAGGAGCTCGTTAAACAAACCGAAAATAGCTACACAGTTTGTGGGTAGAGTAAAACTTTTGGCTAATACGGTAATATTGGAGATACTTTGCATGCTTCTGTGTGGCCTTGCTTTATTATGGAACAATAAAAGAGACTTTTTTTAGTCTTTCCTCTGACAGGAGACATCGCTTTGTTTGGAAGCAGATGTGAACAGTGGTGTGTGCCTGCCAGGGTGTTTATCTGCCCTGTCCTCCCGTCTCTGTGCCATCACTCCCAGACACACTTTTCAAAAAAATGTTTCCTCTTTCATATCCGCCTGAAATTTCCCCCTTGTCATCTTCGGTTGGTTTTTGTGGACGTCGGCGTTCAGCAGCTTCATTGGGCGTCCCGAGGTCACAGGGCTGCAGCTCAGTGGATTAGGACGCTGTGCCTCTGATCATTGGTTCAAATCCCCGGGCTGGCACACTGATACCACCACTGAGCCCTTAGGCATACCCCTTAACCCTAATTGTTCCAGGTAATGACTGACCCTCCTCTATCAAAAGAAGTAACTCATTATAGATAAAAGCATCTGCTAAATAATGTAAATGTGACCCCCCCCCCCTCCAACCCCCGTCCTCTTTAAAGTCTTTAAAGCCTCGCATAAGGCAAAAAAAAATATGAAAAAAACCAAACCAAATCATTTGCTACATTCAGGCCTCTTCATGTCTTAGGGAAATATCCTCCGACGTGCCGCGGACGTTCTGTCGCTTCTCATTCTGCTAATTCCGGAGTCACCAAAGTGCCGTGGAAACAGAGACGATGCCGGTGATTCCTTGGGCCGGGGTGGGATTGTTCTGACAAGCGCATATGCAAAATGTCTTTCCGGGGAGCATTCCCCTCCGTTCCCCTGTGGATCTATAATGATTATTGCATTATATTGTGGGAAATGTACATCAGCCTTTGTGTTTTAGAAGAATGTGCTTCTCACAGTTAATTAGAATGAGTTTCCCTCTCTGTACACCTGAATCTGCGATTGTCACATTAGGCAGTCGCTTCCGCTGATTCCTTTCGCATTTACGTTTCTGCATTTACGGCGTCTGCTGTTTGTCGTCGGCGTTCCTGCGGCGCTGCATGCTATTCCTGCGGCGTGCCATGCATCGTCGTTCATTTCAGTGCACAGAACGAAGCGCGTCACGGCCGGCGAGGCGTGCAGTCTCATTAGTGTTACATTTTATGTTTTAATTAGTGGAATTCCACTGAAGTGTGTTAATGAGGTTTTTTTTTTTTCCAATTGGAAATGAAATCCTTGCAACGAGCGTCAGTGTTTGAGCCTCCTAATTACTGCAATTGACCCTCAGGATGTCATCGTGACATGAGCAGACTGATGACCTGTGCGTAAGAGCCCTTCTACGCGCTCAGCTTGCACTTACGATGGGTCGTGACAGCCGCCGGTTTGTCTCCACAGCTCAGTGTGGCGGCTCGATGACGGACTTCAGCGGGGTGATCCTGAGCCCCGGATTTCCCGGGAATTACCCCAGTGGCTTGGACTGCACCTGGACTGTCAGCCTCCCGGTCGGCTTTGGTATGCCACCTCTGCTTCGCACGTCCATTAGCTTCTCTAGTGACACACTTAGGTGCTATTTAAACAAAGGTGGCTTCATGGAAAACACTGATATCTAAACTCATACAGAAAGCCTCTTTAAGATAATGCAACCAAATGATCAAAGAGGCTGTAGCTTCCCTCTCATTGCAGTTTTCCTCTTTTTTCTTCCATAAAGGAATCCACCTGCAGTTCCTGAACTTCTCCACGGAGGCCATCCACGACTACCTGGAGGTCCGCAGTGGCTCCCTGGAGACGGGCACGGTGATCGACAGGTTCAGCGGCCCCCAAGTGCCTGAGCCCTTCTTCAGCACCACCCACGAGACCAGCTTCTTCTTCCACAGCGACTACTCCCAAAACAAGCCGGGTTTCCACATCACGTACCAGGGTGAGGCCTCTCGTTCATTTCCCTCCTACGGCCCGGTTGACCCAGTCCTAGGAAGAACAATTATTAAGCGATTTCTTAGCGCTCATTAATCACTCTTATAGATACGACGGCCAGAAGTATAGCTCAGCGAAGGGTATGAATAATAGTCGGAAATTTATCATCTGAGGGACTAACGTTTTGTTTCAAAGCCATTTGTAGCATGTTTAACGTTATAAAAAGGTTATTCAAGCCAAAAAATCATTAATTAGCCCGCTGCAGAGTCAGGAGAGGGCCGAGTCATGTCAAGCTTGTTGGAATCTGTAGCATGCTTGGTTCGGTGGCGCACGCGGCCGCTGATCTTTTGACACGCATGTCCCCTGATCCCGTGTCACCAAGCCTACCAGCTGCAGAGCTGTCCCGACCCGCGGCCCTTCCGCAACGGCATCGTCATCGGCAGCGACTTCAGCGTAGGCCTCACCGTGTCCTTCGAGTGCCTGCCGGGATACACCCTGATCGGCGAGGCCTCGCTCACCTGCCTGCACGGCATCAGCCGCAACTGGAATCACCCCATGCCGCGCTGCGAAGGTGGGTGCCTCGCACTCCTCCCCCGTGTCTGTCATGGAATGTCCCAGTGTTGGCCATATGCTTCTTTATTCGGGTGATTCCATTTTGTGTGTGTGTGTGGGGAGGGGGGGTATCACAATTAAAACATATATGATAGGAAGATGTGCGTACAGCAACAGAAGTGAAATAGTTAATGACTACATAGCTACATAGATCATTCTGGTAAACAACAAATTATTAAACATCAACTAGATAAATTTATACATAATTTAATTAATTTAATATGCCTATAAATGCCTGCATAAAGCAGGTTTTTAAAAAGGGTAAACACAGAAATAGACCAATCAAGTTACCTTTATTTTTCATTATTGGCTCACTTCAGAAGATTTAGTCTGTTTTCTCAATTAAAAAACGTATCTGACTGTTTTATTACCTCAGAACACTTAGCTGGGAATGAGCATCTTAACTACAGCATTAGACCATGTTTGTCCTGCGTTGTGAGATCGGAAGCTATTTTTGGGCTGTGAAGACAAGATGACCCAGATTTTGCTATAACACTGCCACCAAGTCGTCCTTAAGACAGATAATTAGGTAGCCAAACAAGTCATTAGCTAACATGGGAATTGCACTTCGCTGATAATCTGACTATTGTGGTATATGCAGCTTGTGTAAATCCTTAATCCTGCTGTGCACTATTAATATAACCCCCCAAGGTAATATAATCACAGCAGTCCTCCATTTTGTTTGACGCTTGTATGATGCTGTAGACTGTTGGACCGTCCTGCTGTACTGGTGGCCGGTGTCCCCTGGGAGAAAAACACATTCGCATGCAATTGATTTCCAGGTCTGCAGAGGCACTCTGTGCTACATTAGGTTATGAATGGTGTTGACTTCAAATGTTGATATAAAAATATATATACAGTCTTTGATTGAATTTTGACTAAATGGTTGCCGGAGCGGGCAGCGGCGTGCTTACGCGCGTCGCCTCGCCCGCCACTGCGCCACCCCCCAGAGTGCATCCTTCTCTGTCAGACAGTAATGGGCATGAAAATCTGCTTCCTTAGTTCCAACCGAGACTCTGGATCCAAGAGAATAAATCAGTTGCCTGTTTCGTTTAGTCACTCGTAGCCTCTGGAGCTTTGTTCTCATCTGCCTCGTTCTTGTCGTTTTGTTCGCGACGGCCTAACGAAGCACCGCGACGCTCATTAGGCTGCGGAGAGAGTCGGCACGTGCATAACGTGGTGCCACGGATGATGTGGTTATCTTCTCCTACGTGTACGGAGCGGAGGCTTTCGTCTGTTGCCTTAAACGTTCCTCCGCTTAACACTGCGTGGTACATTCCCAGTTTGGTGTTCCCGGCGTTTCCGTGTTACCTCATCGTTGAAACTGTCCTCTCTGTGTCCGTGAGGAGCCCGTTGCCATGGCACAGGTGTTGCCAGGGAGACGTGTGGTTGTCTCGATTCAGCAACATGACCTCTGACCCCTGCCCCCTCTCGTTGTAGCTCTATGTGGGGGGAACATCACCTCCATGAATGGGACCGTCTATTCTCCTGGACACCCCGCAGAGTATCCCCACTTCCAGGACTGCGTGTGGAGTGTCAGGGTTCCCCCTGGCAACGGGATCTACATCAACTTCACCGTGCTTAGTACAGAACCCATCTACGACTACATCACTGTCTGGTAAGGGCCCACTCATGACATCACCTGCATACAAAGGCCAGATTATCCGGGATCATCCTAAAGATGCAGTTTTATCTTATTATGCAGCCAGAGCGGCTTTTACTAGAAGCCTAACTAGATCTTTGTCTTTCGTCTGTAATGTTTTGTTTGTGCCACCATGCATATTGATTGAACAGATAAGTACTGAGGGATGAAACATGCATATCCCTTTGTATCTGGGGGGTGGGACCTAGAAGAGACATGTCACAATCGTTTGGCTTCACAAGCCACAGGCGTTTGCGTCCATAAACAAGGCGTAGTGGGCGTCGCCGTGGAGGAAGACCAAAGTGGATTTTATTTATTGAGAAAGAATGCCAGACATTTTGAATCAATACAAACAATCGGTACATTTAGGAACTTAAAGTGGAGACCGACAAAAAAAGGGGTGTGGGAGGGTGGGTACGTAAGCTCTTTAATTGTGTTGAAATGAATGAGCCATTGATCTCACTTACCTTAACTGGCTGAAAGGAAAATATAGAGAGCTTATAATAAATCCACAGCAGCACCCAGCCCATGTATAAACAAATAGATTTGTCTTTTAATCAATGTGGTTTAATAATTTCATTCTCCAATTCATGTTTCAAACTCCAAACCATACTGAGTCTCAAAGAATCAAAAGTAAATATGGCCTTTCTGTTCTTAATCACTGCCGGTTGGGCCTGAGTAATGGTATTATCTGTGGCTGTATGCTGCTGTTTGTGCTCTCCCACGAATTCAGAAAGGTAAATGATACGGGGGCTTATTCTCCGCACAAACATGCAGCAGAGCGAACACTGCTTCAGGCTTCGCTCGTCGGATAAACAACATTCGTTATGAACAGAAAACTCCGTAAAACTTCTGTGGAAACATTTTTTGGTTCATTCTTGGGTTTCATTAAAAAGAGTATTATCGATTTATTATCATAGAATGTCAAAATGCAAGGTAATTTCTCTTCTGTTTTCCCATGCATAAAGCTCGTAATGAAAAAATATGGATTGAAAATTATTGGGTTTATAGTCTACATGAGCATTGCTGTTGTATGTAGGTTGGAATAAGCCGTTATTACAGTATATGTAATGCAGAGCAGATTATGGGCGACACTCAGTGGTTCTACAAAGTTAATCGTGACGGATGCTTATAGGTGCTGCTTAGAGCTACTGAAGGCAGGCTGATTCAGGGAGTATATCTGAGACTACAGACCATTTAAACTCTGTTTGCCTTTCATAAAAAGACAGCCTCTGTTTCTAATTTCCCATCACAGGCTGCCTGTAAATCGTGGTTTGTTGGCGCAGATGCATGAAATCCATCCCAGAATGTGTTAGTAGTCGAGGTTACGTGCAGGTTGCACTCACCATGAAGAAATGTGCCTGGTGACAATCGAGGTACACGGCCACCCATTTTGAGGAGGAGCTCGATGGGTGTGCGCGCTTAGATATTTTCTTATAATACACCGTTTATAGCGTTTTAAGGCAGTAAATTTCGGCTGCAACTGCGTTGTAGCCCAGAGCCCCGACGAAGCAGATCATTCATTTTTTAGCAGATATGTCCACGGTGCACTCAGGCTCATGAAATCTGCATTTCAAGTCGTTCTCGAGTCTGTTTTAATCATAATAAATATCGTCTGGGCATTTTCCATCCCGGTAATAAAGCGTCTTTTGTTACTTTGATCTGTGAGGCGTATGACGTCCTGTTCATTTATACATCTCTTGCCCATATGTTACGGGTTCATGCTCTGGAATCTGCTCCTTATTTTACCTACTGGCTTAGAAAGATTCATTTCAGATAGCAGGGCATCAGCGTTCCTATTGGTAAGAGCAGCACCAGTCCACTTAAAAGCTTACTGGTATTTCAGAGGTCCATAGGTTGATAATTAATTGCTTTGACTCTGTGATACAATCCTTCTGCTGCACAGGGGCATGAATGACCAGCAGAATTCAAAACATGACACTTTCTCATTATTAACGTCCCCCTTTACGCTGCATATAACTCCATATATTCCTTTGTTTAAAAAATCCAGAGGACATTTTTATTTATTAATGCTGCTAAATAATGCATCTTCAGCGCAAAGCAGGAACTGCGTCATTGCCCGTCCATGAGGCTCGCAGCCTACCCACCAATCAAGTTGCACGGAGGGCAGGAAGGCGACGCCCACTGTGTCGTCTTTCCACACCGCGCCCGAGTGCATTAATGCAGAGGGTGACCCTGATTAATAAGGCTGTTCAATAAGCAGTTGAACTGTACACGAGAAACGATAATCCTTTTCTTTTATGATAGGTCATTCTTTTATAAGATAGACCTTGTGCTTGAAAGCAAATTCTAGTTTTCTGGGATCTTTGTCCTGAATCACTTTCAGATTGCATTTCTGGTACATTTTATGCCCTTCTAACCAGGGAAGCAGTCTTTGAGGCTGCATTATTGGCCCTTTCTCTGCTGAAAATGTGCAGATGGAATGTTGTTATCCTGGTACTGGAAGAGGCTGGGTGCTGAGTGTGGTGTGTGGGGAGCCTTTGTGTGTCTGTCAGCTGCCGCATGTTCTGGCTCCGCTCCTCAACATCAGTCACCCTGTTTCTGTCAGGGCGTGTTTTTTTCCTGACAGCTTTTCTGTTTAATTTGGCCAACAGGAAAGAATGGACTCCAAGATTCATCTCAATAAGGCGTTCCAATTTACGCCTGCACTGCTGTGAAATACAGGCCCCCTTGTGTTCTTATTCGGTCTTATTGATTCAGAGGATTAAGGAAGATTGGAAAAAAAATCACATTGCCTAAGAGCAGTATGGAGACTCACAGATCCTCCTGTTGCTGAGTCTGATGTGTCCTCAGCCTCCCCTGTGGGGGATTTTTAACTCGGTGGCTAAAATGCGCGCCGTCGTTCTGCATCCTAACCTCCGTTCTGGTCGCTTGCTGGCAAATCCGCTCTACTACACCCATCACTGTTCCCGCAGGGACGGCCCAGATCAAAGCTCGCCGCAGATCGGCCAGTTCAGCGGAAACACGGCGCTGGAGTCCGTCTACAGCACCTCCAATCAGATCCTGATCAAATTCCACAGCGACTTCAGCGGCAGTGGATTCTTTGTTCTCAGCTACCACGGTAAGCCGGCCTGGGGGGGGGCATACACCTCCCCTCGGAGCATTGCCCCCATCGTTCTGCGAATGAGCAGTCCGCACGATGAAGAGATTCATTCCAGCAGCTCCGACGCCAGGCTGGATGTGCAGGTGCCGTAATCCCACATGCCGGCTCTGGAGCGAGACCCTGGCGTGATGGGAAGTGGAATTGGTTGGGATATCGATGGTCCCGTGGTGTTTATAACACGGGTTTACAGCTGAGGCCTGCCTGCTCCGGGTCTGCGGTAAATTAGTATTTAGGCTACAGTCGTAGCAATTCCATCAGATTGCCAGCGTGAATAATCAGAATACAGGTCCCTTAACGGCTCTGGTGTAGAGCATGGTCACGCTTTGAATAAAGAGCCCTACCAGGACCTCCATAACACCTCTTTAAGCATTTATGAAAGCTGCTGTAGTACTTCCGAAAGCAGCAGTGCTTGTATAGTTCATGAAATGGCCGTGAAGGTCTTACACAGGACCTCGCACTAGCCGTCGTGCTGTGAAGCCCCACTGTATTGCTTTAGTCGTTTCATCTGTATTTCATTGACAATCAATTGTCTCATTATTCACCTTAGACATTGTCTCTAAATGAAATTGTGGAGTAAATGCGATTTCATTTGCTATCTCCGTTAAAGGAGACTTAATATAATTATGATCTACTTAGGGTTGTAGGGAACTTAACGGTAAGCAGCATAACATCGGTCATCCCATTTCATTTCGGAAGGTTTATTTTCCCCGTGTTTGGGGGGGCGTGTTACCCTGTGCCCCGGTATTCACGTTGCCCAGTCTGTCCCAGGACCACGCATGCCACTGCATCCCACTTCCTGGGATTGCTAGTGGGTATTTTGCATATTTTGCATATTTGCCGAAAATCACTCAGTATGTCAAAACATTTATATTGTTTTTAAATAAAAGACATCCATCATCGCTTGGGTTAGTTCACGAGATCCCTCTGCTAGGGAGAGGATTTCGGTCTTCAAATCTCCGGCTGCTGCCTGGAAACTCGGTTTTCCTGCCTTTTAATCTGGGAATCGCGAGAGCAGCCATATGTATGTGTTTTGGGAGTCTCCTGTCGACCTCCATGCTTTCCGGATGACCTGCCACCAGCCCTGCACTGGTTCCATATGCCCCGGTGTGAGAGCCTGTCATTTAGAGCAGAGCTATTAAAATCACGGTCCTCAAGGTCTGAGCTGATTTACCTGCGAGCCGAGTGTGAAGCGTCTGTGGCCAGTCAGAATCAGTAATTATGAAACTCAGTACCTGGGAGAACTAAAAACAAGGTCTGCATTTGGAATCGAGGGCCAGACTGAAGAGCCCTGATTTAGAGGGCAGTTTGTTGGTCATGCGCCCAGTGTTGCTGCGGCCATGCCTTCCAGGTGAAGCGAAACTCGCCTCTGTCACCACCTGCGGGGAAATCAGGAAATGAAACGTGAACAGAATGGGGCGGGTCTTTTTCTAAACCTGGCTCTGTCATTGGTGGAGAAGCAGAGCCAAGCCCAATGACAGCGCGGCCATGTTGAGGGGGTGTGGCTTCCCTGACGGGGTCTACATGCCCATTTGGCCTCCCAGGCCCCACCTTTGCTCCACTGTAATCATTAAACCTGCATATTATTTAGGGGTCGTGTTGAATGCAGACTAAGTGCATTTTAATTGTTAATCGTCATTCTGTTTTTACCCTGAATGTCCCCTTTCCTTTGTTTTAATCATGGTTCAGTCCCAGAGTGTTGCTTCAAATCTGGTAAAAAATAAATAAATTGGTTTTACTAATGCAGCATGTTTCGCAGCAAAATGAATGATGGCGGCATCATGTTGGGACTCTGAATTGATCCTGTTATGGCTGCCCGGTGGTTTCAAATCCCAGCGCCATCAAAATAGTTAACGTCCCAATTAAATGGCAGGGCAGTTTTTTTCAGTTTCAACAGCTCTCGGGCCTAAATTTAGAAGTTGAGAAGAGTACTGCAGAAGATTGTAATTAAAGCATGAAATCACCAGCGGTGACGTCCGCGTGAGCATAAATGCTCCGTTAATTCAGCCTTTTTATTAACTGCAGGGGAAGCAGGTCGCACTCATCTTTCACTTTAATGCTGTTGCGGTTTAATTCTCAGCGTCACAGAGCCTCCTGCATAGACCCGGTGTAGCCGTCGTTACCGCCGATGATCTTCACGGGCAAACGTGGCAGTTCGTACGTCACGGCCGCTAAGGGGGGGGGGCGGCTTGGGTAAACTGCATCATGCCGGTTAGTTAAGGCCAAGATGGTGGCGGCGAGTTAATGAAGCATCCTCCTGTTTACCACGTCCATGTTTCTCTTCCTGACCAGCGTACCAGCTGAGGGTGTGCCAACCTCCTCCACGGCTCCTTAACGCCGATGTGTTGATGGAGGACGACGAGTTCGAAATCGGTAAGCTTTGCCCAACCCCCCCAACCCCCTGCTCTCCGTCACGGTCAGCCGAAAGAAAAAGGTAGAGCAAAACTTGCTTTCTCCAATAGGAAAGTCTATGGAAACATGTGGGTGCATTTCTATTGGCTGCTGAAGGAACAGGTCTCCGCCCCCCTTTATGGCCATCTCAACACAGGTGCACTAAGGCATTTTGGGAAGAACATGTGAATTCCAGAAGTCTCCCTGTTTCTGCTGAATCTTTTGGAAATAGACTCAGGGAAAGTCTATTTTGTGTCAGCACTGCACGTGCCCTTCTCTGGCAGGAAGCTTCCAGAACATAGGAAGGGCTTTGGGGCTTGCAGGCTCAGAGCAGTCATGTAATAGTCATGTAATGAAAACCCCATGAGCAGTCGCACCGCTTGCATTTAGCTGTGTGCTACGCTACTTACTTCATTCACAAGCTACATGGGTTAATTTTAACCACTTTTCAGCTAAGTACGTATGACCATGAGGACCAGGCACAAAGCTCGTTTTTCTTCCCCAGGCAGGTTCAGAAGTCACGTTATGTAGCAGCTGCTGTATATGGTGTCCATGGAAACCCTGCCCATCGCAGAACTTTCAGTGTGGGATTGTGCCTCTCCTTCCTGTTTTATTTTCAGCTCAATCTTCAGACATCCCTAACCTTTTCCCTACCTCCCTTCCTCCCTGTCTACGGCACTCACCTCAAAACAAGCAGTGAAAGACAGCCTCCCCCCTCATTAATTAACTGTAACCACTCAATTAGAGTAGCTCTGCCGCTAACGATTGACTCCGTCTGACTTCCCCGCAGGAGACATAATCAGGTACCAGTGTCACCCTGGGTTCACGCTGGTGGGCAATGAGATCCTGACCTGTCGGCTGGGCGAGAGGCTACAGATGGACAGTCCTCCTCCGATGTGCCAAGGTTGGATTCCCGAGTCTGGTGGGCTCTAATAACAGCCCATTTACGTCGTCATGACACCCACCTCTCATTCCCTGTTATTTTCTCCATTTTATTCCTTCAGTGTTGCATCCCAACCCATACATTTTTGGCCCAAACATCTGTTTCAGTTAATATTTCAGTGTGGTGTATTTCTCCCAGAACCCTCAGGGACAGTATCAGAGTGTCAGTGTCTGTCCTTCTGTTTCCATGTAAGAAAAGACCGGAAAATCCCAAAGATGCCAAATCCAGAGTGTCTAAATCAGTGAAGCATATCAGAATTGGGTGTGACACGCATTTGGACATCGTGATAAGGGGGCGGACGATGCCCCAGGGAACCTGGGAACTTGAGATTGCCGGCATGTCCTGTGACCATGGTCACCCTGAGTGTCCTGTGCTCTCCTCCATCCCAGTGCCCCTTCCACAGTGACCCTGAGTGTCCTGTGCTCTTCCCCATCCCAGTGCCCCTTCCACAGTGACCCTGAGTGTCCTCTGCTCTCCTCCATCCCAGTGCCCCTTCCACAGTGATTCTGAGTGTCCTGTGCTCTTCCCCATCCCAGTGCCCCTTCCATAGTGACTCTGAGTGTCCTGTGCTCTGTTCCAGTGCAGTGGCCCACCTGTGGTGACTCAGAGAATCATATGCTCTGTCCCAGTGCAATGCTATGTCAATTATGACTGTGTATCCTCTGCTCTGTTCCAGTACAGTGCCCCATCTGCAGTGACTCGGAGTGTCTTGTGCTATGTCCCAGTGCAGTGCCCCGCCCATAGTGACTCTGAATGTCCTGTGCTCTGTCCCAGTGCAATGCCCCGCCCACGATGTTCGCTTTGACTCCAGCGGGGTCATCCTGAGTCCAGGCTACCCGGACAGCTACCCCAACCTTCAGATGTGCTCGTGGAGCATCAACGTGGAGAAGGGCTACAACATCACACTATATTTCGAGTTCTTCCAGACGGAGCGCGAGTTTGACGTCCTGGAAGTCTTTGATGGTAACTGCTTTGAAGTCTCTCCCCTGACTTCTATACGTATCGTCTTTCTGTCTCTTTCATGTGAGTCCTCTCTGTCCTGCTCTATACTATATAGCCCCATATATCATGTCTCACTGCAGCTTTTTTCTCCTCCTCGATACCTTTCAAGGTGGCATCCTGGGACTTTTGGTTGCTATAGGCACCTTTGTTATTACTGAATTCCCTCTTACATTTATACATATCATTTGCTGCACAAACACTATATTTCCCTTCAATTCTCACCTGCTTTAGTGTTTGATCAAGTTTTCTGAGCGGCTCTTAAGCGGAACAGCCGGCCGCGGAAAGCGTAACATGGCGCTTACACACATGATGCCCGGGAAAAGCACAAGGGATGCATGCGCCGCAGCGCTAGCTGGTCCCCGCTAGCGGATTGAAGCATGGAGCCCGGGTGTGTATGTTCACCTTTCCCCCGAAATGAGGGCAGTCAGATGAAAGCGGGGCTCCTCTCCCTGCAGCGATTTCATCTTCTGAAGGGCTGCTACCTCCTGTGGCAACAGACATACCACAGGCCGGTAAATATAATGGGCAATTACTCAAACTCAGTTGTCATATTTTATTTCAGTCCAGCTGGATTAAACCTGTTGCAAGTTAACAAAGGCCCAATCTCTCTTCAGTTAGTCCCTCTGTGCGGGTTTTATTTCATGGGATGCCTCACCTTCTGCGAAGGCGAAGCCGGCCTGCTTAAACAGTGATCTGGCTTCAGATTCTGATTGGCGCTTTCTCTCTCTTCTCTTTTCCCTTTTCCTCCTTTTCCTTCCTGTTTTGCCTCTCCTGTCCTGCAGGCCCCAACATCCACAGCCCGACCCTGGCCTCGCTGAGTGGAGACCTGAGCACACCCTTCAACATCACCACCAGTGGCCATCAGCTGCTGCTTCGCTGGTCCTCCGACCACGGCACCAACAAGAAGGGCTTCCGCGTCAGATATGTCGGTGAGTATCAAAGTATGTATCCCATTTTTTTCAATATCTTTCGCCTGCACGTTTCCCGTCTCTGTCTATTGTGCTCAGCTAGCATGCAGTGATAGTTTGAGCAGCTTGCATTGCACGGGTTTGCACTCGTGGGAGTTTTACCTGCACAAAGAACATTGCTCTGAAGGCAGGACGAAAAATGATTGGTTCAGAAAGATAACCAATCAGATTGTACAGGAGGTGGGTCCCAGACATCTGATTGGTTGGTCCCGCCTCCTCTAGTTGCTTGAACCCGCCTCCTCTACAGTCTCATTGGTCATCTCTCTGAACCAATTATTTTTTTTGTTCTGCTCTCAAAACATTTTTGTTTAGGTAAAACTCCCATGAGCAGGGGTTAGGGGGGGGGCTCAGGGGTAGCTAGCAGGGTTTGTACTCATAGGCCAGTGGGGGGTGGGCATGCCTTATTCCGGCTCTCCTGAAGACTGTCTGGAGTGTTGTGCTCTAACACCCCGCCCCCCGGAGAGTTTGTTCATTTTATTTTTCTTCCTGCCCTCCCGTTTGTGTCAGGAGCAGCCGAATCTCAGTTCTTCAGGAATGTGAGCCATGTACAGACTGAAGCAGGGGAGATGCCCTATCTGTTTGGGGACCCCGTGCAGTCAGTTATCATAGAGCACATAGTGGGTGGTATTCGTCCACCAGAGACAACCAGCCTGGCTTTAAGAGAGAGAAAGGTGAAAGGTCACCCCCCGGGGGGGGGCAGCGGGGACTGTGGCAGCACAGCAGATGTTATATGTTGCGATGGGTCCCTCCCTCCCTGGGGAGAAACCCACTTGTCCAGGGAGACTTGGATGACTACCGTTCTAAACACTGCTGTTAGCAGCTCAGTCTAGTAGCCTGCGGGGCCCCGGGTTCAACTGAGGGTCTTGGTGGTGGGGGGGGTTAAGGCTGGCAGGGCAAGGACGCATGGGCTCAGTGAGTCGGCGAAAAGCAATGGTGCCCCCGCTCCCGAACTGAGAGCAGCATGGTTAATGTGCAGAAGAAAGGGGGTGTTTACTATGGACGCCACGCCCTGCTCCTTTAGGACACATGAGTGAGGAGTTCAGAGCGCGGCCGGGCGTGTTTCCGCGCCGCACTGGCACGCCTCAAACGGAGCGCCGGGAGCAGCCATGACGGCTTTGCGGAAATTGAGCCCGTCTAGGCCAGTATCTTTTTTAGTAATTACCGTGGTTTTCAGCTGGAAGGATTAAGGAGACGCAAGGCCAGGGGAGAATTAACCGCCATGTTTTTCTTTTTTCCTCCAGATGGATGGGACACTGTTAAGCAGAAAATCATCAGTATCAGTTTTCAGTATTTTATTTCTTTTTTTTTTCTTTTTGCATAACCCAGTTACGGTTTCAATCCCCCCTAAACAGAAATAATAAAGAGCACATGCTTTGTACTGTCATGCATCGCGGATGGGCAGTACAGAGAAGGCCATCCATTCACATTCATCCTGCACATCTGCAGACTCATGGAAAGATATCTGCATGGCATGCTCCAGTGTTACAGGATGCAAGATGTCCTAAATCATCTTCTGTCTCTTTTTGTCCCTTTCATTCTCTTGCTTTCTCTCTCTCTCTTTCTCTCTCTCTGTCTTCTGGACAAATCAGGCATTCTGAGTATAGTAGTAATAACCTCACCCAAAAATCAGTAACCACACAAGAAATGCATTGTATGTGACGCATTTTGTCCCAGTCGCATTTAGCTCTGCTGGTCCTCTAGCTGTTTTCATGCTGTTGGATAAGAATTCAGTCGACCAATAGATATTTCCTCACCCATGAACAAAAGAAATCAGTTTAATAAGTTCTTTAATATCTCTGCCAATAGATTTTTTTCAATGCTTGCATATAAAGGGCACGTCTATAGATAATGGATCATATTTCTCGCGGGATTTGTTTCAGAGGTATTCAGAATGAGCAGACCAGATAGCGATCGGTGCGTTATCTCCAAAGCCAGCGTCCTCCTTGTGCACCTCTATGCTCTGTCATCGACAGACATCATATCATGCACTGATAGCAGGCCGTCACGCATGCTGGGGACCGCTGTCTTCACGTTCCTCCCGCTCTACGTCTTCGGTATTCTCCTCCTCCATCCCCCATCACTGAAGTTTGAGGAGAACTTTCGGGGAAGCGAGCAAGAGCATTCCTGCTGCAGGCCACGTCTGGCTTCGGGGAGCTTTGGAAGAAATTACGGTTTTTATATTCTCTGTGCCCGTGGCTCAGCACTGCGGTGAGGGGGGGAAACTCGCATGGCACCCCCACATGCATCAAAAAGCAGCATTATGGAGGTGACCCGGCGAGGACCTTCACACGGGATTCCAAACCACAGGCGTGCCTTGTATAACAGTTTATTGGATGTAAAGTGACTCAAATTTTAAATACAGTGGCTGCCGTCACTTAGCATCGCTCCCGATCTCTCTCTGATTCGCTCCGATCGTTGGCTGGGTGTCGCCCCGCTGAGCGTGCCCGTTACGCACAGGCTACGCCCGGCCCCATGTAACCCCTGCCGACCCCAGCAGACATGGGCCCTGACCGTATCCCCTCACCCCATCCGGTCCGATCGATGTGACGTGTGACGTCGGCGCCGGCTGGCAACGGTGCCGCGCAGAATCCTCCTCGTGAATATTAAAGCAACACGACGACGGCTCTGTGCCGTTTTTATTATTGTTCTTCACAGAGCCGTCCGTTGAAATGCTGAGAACGACGCGTCTCTGTGGGGGCACCTTCTGCTTTAGCTGCAGCTCGGTGGAGCGTGTGCCTTTACAGTTTCAGTGTGTAAAAGTCCTCTTCAGACACTGGAGCCGGGATTTTTTATTTATTCTTCCACAGGTCCGAGTCCTGCTGATTTTCCCGCCTTCCTTTGCCTGCGAGCCGGGTGTGAAGCCTCTGCCCAATCAGAATCAGTGTTTTTAAACTATATACATGGGAGAACTGAAAACAAGGCCTGGATTTGGAATTGAGGGCCAGATTTGAAGAGCCCTGTTCTAGCAGGTTCTGTAGGGGAGCGAAGACCTTGTATAAGAAACTACACTCAGAAACATAAACTCAAATCAGATGATTACTCTGTAACTGTGATGACTGGTCATGGTATTTTTATTAGGAGTATCGTTATGTCATAGCTTTCTATGACCAATGATGATAATATTATCACTTTGAAAGGTATGGTGGATGGGCTCCATGTGGCCTGTCAGTCACTAGGAGGTTTAATCCAATGGGAGCCTATAAAGTAATCATTTGGAGGCGGGTTAAACCAGTTGGTGATTGACATGCCGTTCGGCCAATCTCTAAGCACTATTGTTAATGTTAGTGTAAGAATAAGCACTTTGATTGTTATATTTGTAACTTGATCACCTTACGTCACATGACATGGCAGCTTGCATGGGCACCATCATGGATGTGCTTCCTGCACTGCATCATGGGAAGGCTGGCTGCAGGTAGCAGCAATAGTGATAGAGCTTGAGGCCAGCCGTGTCCCTTTCTCTAAGCTGGACCTGCATGAGTGGATGACGGCATTGCTGCGGAAGCCATGACCTACTGACACACTGATGCCCCCTCTCTGCACAGCTCTGTACTGCAGCACCCCAGACTCGCCGCAGCACGGCTCTATCATCAGCCAGACGGGCGGCCAGCTCAACAGCCTGGTGCGCTGGACCTGCGACCGTGGCTACCGCCTCATCGGCAAGGGCACGGCCGTGTGCAAGAAGACGCCCTACGGGTATTACGCGTGGGATGCCCCCGTGCCAGCCTGCCAGGGTGAGACCTCTGGGCCTATCCCACTCTTAACAGGCAGCAAAGAGCCCTTAGTGACCCTCAGTCTGTCATCTTCCAGTCGCATGTCCTGATCATGGTCTTGGAGTAGTCTGTAGCCAATCACAGGCAGCATAGGACACAAGGCAGGGATATATAACCAGGATGGGATGGCAGTCTGTCGCACAGGGACACAAGGTAACATTTAACAAGATAACATAACATTTCACAAATGTGAGTCAGGCATCCGTGCGTACGAGCTGCCATTTCGCAGGGCTGATGCTTTCCACCCTGCGCTCACTTCCGACGTTCCAGGTGACGCTCAGGTGGTGTTTGGGGCCGTGTCACCTTTGCACGTTCCTCACTGAGGTGCCGAAGAGCCACGGTTCACACGTCTGGTATCTAAGACGGGCTCTCCATGTGCCGTTACATTGCATCTCCTTTACATCATGCACCGCAAACCGGGAGAATGCCATTTTATCTTCAGAGTGACAGTTACGCTAAAACGGTTAATTCTGTTTAATTGCTTTTTTAGCTGAGGAACTTGAAAGGATATTGCAACATCCGTATTTTCCCTGCCCCTGCAGCACTGCGCTTCTGTTTCTCTAATCTCTTTAAAGTTTTTATTTCGTCTGCTTGCCTCTGATTATTTCCATTCCACCTGTTTTTGATATCATTCCCTCACTGTCTCCCTTTCCTGGGTGAAGGGGCTGTACCTGGGGGTGAGGGTGCTCTGTCTAAGTGCAGCTGCCCCCCCCCCCCGGCTCCAGTAGAGCCCCATCCATTTCCTCCTTTTGTACCTGGAGGTGTCTGAGCACAGGAACATAACCAGCCATCATTTATGTCAGCTGGGGTGGGAATCGAGGGGATTTATGTTTGCATCTAGGGTCTGCCAGACACCTCTGCAATATAATGCCCCCCCCGACCGACGACATGCTGAACACAGTGTAATAATGCAGCCATAGCGTGTCAGGGCCGCGTACCCCAAGGGTCGCCATTGCAAGTCAGGAGGTAGGGAAGTCCTTAGGGAAAACCCCTCCAGGCTAATGCTAATGCTAACCCAATCAGCTCAGCTGAGTGCAACATGGTACGGAATGTGGCGCGAGTATCTGAACAGGATGGCCGTCGGTGAGTCTGTCTGTGAGGGTCTGTGATGTCTCCTGACCCCTCCCCCCCCCCCCAGCTGTCTCATGTGGCGCTCCAAAGGCCCCGGTTAATGGCGGCGTGCTTACGACCGACTACTCGGTGGGCACCCGCGTGACCTACTTCTGCAACGACGGGTACCGGCTCTCGGCAAAGGAGCTGACGAGCGCTGTCTGCCAGCCCGACGGCACGTGGAGTAACCACAACAAGATTCCACGCTGCTCAGGTATGGCGGGAAGCAGGAGGGTAGGGGGCGGGGCCTGAATGCTTGAAAAATGAGGGAAGAGAGTCAACAGCTTCCAGCATGCAAAAGCATTTGAATATTTCATCACCTTCTTTCGAATTGTGCTGTTAGGAGATAGAGAGTCACGTTAGTTCCATTAATTCGTTTCCACGCTCCTCTTTCCGCTGGTAAATCTGTCCTGTTCTCCCACCGCCTCCTGTCTGTGTTCTGAATAATGGCCGTCTGCACCTCCCCCCGGTCCCGGAGCAGTGGTGGTGTGCCCCAGCATTGGCTCCTTCTCCCTGGAACACGGGAGGTGGCGCATTGTCAACGGCTCGCACTACGAGTACCGCACCAAGATCATCTTCAGCTGCGACCCGGGCTTCTACCGACTGGGCCCCTCCCACATCCAGTGTATGGCCAATGGCGCGTGGAGCTGGAGGAACGAGCGGCCGCACTGCCAGAGTGAGCACACGCGCATGCCCTCCCCTTGATTCTTTCACAGGGAAGGAGTATGTGTTGGAGTGCAGGTTTCCGGGGGGGGGGGGTTCTCTTGGTGGTCTCATGATATCAGGGGCGATATCGTAGTATGAAATGTGTTTGGAGATTTTGTAACAGCTGGAGGCTGACCATTGAGAAATCCGGGGGGTGTTTGCAAGGGTTTAAATCTTGGTGAGAAATCTCAGAAATGATGTGGGTTGTATCTAGATCTCATATCCCCCCCCCCCGTCCTTGTGAATGTGGTACTTTCCAAACTCAACATCACAGAACCTTGTTTAAATTTACCTGCATTTATGCTTCTATACAACTTCTATTGAAAAGTTTTTTTTCTTTTTTATATTCATGCAGTTGCCCCTTAAAAGTGTCACTTAATAAGTCTTCAGTTACATCCAGTTACTTATATTTGTCATTGACTTTTCCCTACATGGCAATTTTACACTTGCAGCATGTAAGTCCCATGGCTAAAAGCATAACAAGAAGCCATTATTGCCCTTCCAGGAGGGGGCAGTGTTGAGGAAGCCATAACATTGTTGTTGTTGTGGAGGTTCATTACCCAGCATGCAATGGTTTTTTTTTTAAAACTAGCTTCCTGTTTCCCGTAGTCATCTCCTGCGGTGAGCTGCCCACCCCCCCCAACGGGAAGAAGATCGGCACGCAGATAACATTTGGCGCCACGGCCATCTTTACCTGCGATGTGGGCTACATGCTGGTGGGCTCAACTGTGCGCGAGTGCTTGTCGTCAGGGCTCTGGAGTGGGACGGAGACCCGGTGCCTCGGTAATGGCCCCCGCTGGCCCACTTGCATTCCTGCTGCGTTAGCTTAGCGCGCTAAGCAGCTAATCCCAGAGGGAGGGGTTCTGTCCACAAAGATAGCTCATGCGGATTTAGGGTGAAGGAACACGGGACGGAGGGAAACCCTCCTCCGACGCCCCCCGCCGTGACCATCTTCTCATGTGTCCCCCCCCCCACTTCCCAGCCGGCCACTGCGGCGTCCCAGAGCCGATTGTCAATGGCCAGGTGATCGGCGAGAACTTCGGCTACCGGGACACGGTGGTGTACCAGTGTGTTCCAGGCTTCCGCCTCATCGGCTCTTCTGTCCGGATCTGCCAGCAGGACCACAACTGGTCGGGCCAGCTGCCCGCCTGCGTCTGTGAGTAACCCTCTGGCCCCAGATACGTTTTTAAGAAGAGAAATCACAGATTGCCTCGCTTTGCCTTCTAAGGGACTCTGTCCCATTTACTTTATATCTTTTTTTGCAATAACAACCACAGGCTTTTTTTGTTTCCTGTTTGACTCCCTGCTCCCCCCCTCCCCAGGTAGCTAAAATGCGACACCAGCTGTGATGATGATTCTAATTGATGCTGGTAAACCCTGTTATTGCGAAGGACACTATATGCAAATTAACCCAATTAAACTGAACCGAGTCGAATATACAGTGCCAGGAATGCCCAGAGCCAGTGCGGCCACTCAGGGCACTGTCATTACTTAGCTGAGCCCACCAAGTGTTATTTTCGCTCTAGGTTCGGGGAAAGCCCTGCTGGACACGTGCGAAATGAAACAGCCAGCGCCCGCGTAATTAAAGATGATCCTTTTTAACTGTCTCTGCCGGTGTCCCTTTTTGAGGGAACGCTGCATTAAAAGAGATTGATAATCTTTAATTACGCAAGTGCTGCTTATGTATTTTTCCTGCGCTCAGAGGTTAAATTTGTGTAAATCACACCGTTCTCCAGGGGCCCATAATTTAAGCCAGGGCGGCCACTCGCTTTCAATTTTAGGTTTTTCCTTGCTATCTGACTTCACTTAAAAGCTATAATTTTATGCGACAGCCCAGTGCATTGTGGGACGAGGCTAAGACTCCCTTGTCTTGCCACTGGGAAAGTGCCATCATAGCCGCACAGTTTGAGGAACAGTAGGGAGGTGCCCTATTCATGCCGACCAGGGGCCGGGGGAGTGGGTGACAGGCGGAGCTGGGTCACGGAGGCGAAGGGAGGAGAGTGGGGGGGGGCATCTCGATGGAGACGGGGGTGACCCCAGTGCATGGGCTCACTCTCCAATTAAAGACAGGCAGATGGGATCTGGTCCCCCGGCCCTCATCCTGTTTTCACACCGTTGCCACGGACGCTAATGGGCCATTGTTCCGGCATCTCGGTGCACTGGAATGCTCTATGATGCCGCTAATTAGCAGCGGCAGAAGCCAGGCTTCACAGTGGGTGGCAGTAATGGAAACCGCCTTCGAGAAGCTCACCGGAGCTTCTAGAAAATGTCACGGAGCTGATCGCAACTAAATAACGGTGTCAGACAGTATGTGCTGTGCAATAAGGTGAATAGAACTGAAGGGGAGGCCTCGCTGTGGAAATTCTCGGAGGGTTGAAATGTTCAAACCGAAGAACTTAAGCAGCATGCTCATGCTTTAAACCTCTGAGAACGAGCCACCTCCATTAGCTAGTTTCTGGTATCGATTTGATTTGGTTGAATTTCTGCTTTTTTAATGGCGCCTCCAAGTCTAATGAGAGATTGTCTTTATGGATTAGTGAAGGGTCATAGCTCGCATTAAAAATATTTGAATCAATACATTTTTTTTTAATTAAAAAAATCTTGAAACTCTTTTTTTTTTCAGACTGATGTTTAGAAACAAATACAGCAAGTATTTAACATGGCACCTGGTGATATATTGGGTGCCAGACCATGAACTTGAGTGAACTAGTGAGCACAATGAGAAGCTTCCAGAATGTGGCCTCTAGCTTTTAATGCATTTCTGTATTGGTACATTCCAGTTATGGACAAAACATTGAGGCTAAATGGGAGAACATCACTTCCATGTGAGCTGACAGATGTCCTTGAGGCTGGTGATCATAGAGATATGCCTGATGTTTCGCGTACAGCAGTCAGGCAGGGGAGATGGAACAGAGAGTTGTCTCTCTGGACATTGTAAATAGACTCCCCCCGTACCCCCCCAGCAGGGCCCCCCACCTCAACGGAGCACTTCTCTGTACGGTACTCATACTAATGGCAGAGAATTATATGCATTTTCAATGGACTAGTGCCACACCTGTGACAGAGCGCCCTCTACAGGGGAGCAACAGGCAGGCACACAACCTGCAGTGCCTCAGGTCAGACTCAGTTGCCTGAAGATGGCAGCGTTGCGGTGCATTGCACAGAAAAAGGACCTCCACGCTCCTGTAAGTTATGTGCCCTTCAGTGAGCTTCCAGTCAGTGGGAAACATGAGGTGATCTGTCACGATGTGCCTGGCTGTCGGGTCCGGGGACGTCTTACTGGTGTGCAGCGAGCCGCTTCAGGACAGGGGATTCGGAGGAGCCCAAATGTGTCACATGGGTGGTGACCACACTCTTCCTCCCTGGAACAGGATTCTCATTTTCATGTGGAAGTTCAGACTGGATTAACACTTTTAAATAGTTCGGTTGAATAGTTCTCCGCTTTCTGGCGACTTGTAAGGTTCCGGATGCTGTAACGTAGCGCGAGCAGCCCAGCAGGTGCCCCGTCGTGCTGCGTGTTTTTCACCCTCCTTCTCTTCCCTCCCCCTGTCCTTCGTGAAGCTATTAGCTGCGGTCACCCTGGCAGTCCCATCTACGGGCGCACCGTTGGGAATGGCTTCAACCTGAACGACGTGGTGAGCTTCTCCTGCAACACGGGCTACATCATGGAGGGCCCGTCGCGCGGCCAGTGCCAGGCTAACCGGCAGTGGAGCCATCCACCACCGACATGTAAAGGTGGGGAAAAAAGTTAAGTCTTTTATTCATTCACAGCTCCTCCATTGCCTGCACGCCGAGACACCGCAGTGGATTGTGGGTAAGGAGGGGTGCAAAATTTTATACCCCCACCCCCAGATCGACAACCTTTACTGCCACCAACTCTTACTGTTGCCAGCAACAACCCCCCCCCCCCCCATCCACCCGCTTCAGTTCAAATAGCCCAGGGGCCTCTGAATATGTCAGTGTGCCACTGGTCACAACATACATGTTTACAATCATTTTGTATTCAAATCCAAAGTAATTAAATCCAGTGGGTCTGGAATTATGGGATAAAAAGACAAACACTTAGACCCTTGTATACGTAGGACTTTCAGGAAACACTATTACATACTTCGGGTCTTTAGTGACACTATGTATGCATTCATACATAGTCTTTTTAAACTAATTTTATAAATCTCCTTCTCAGGCACTGACTCTGCAGCAAGTCTGAAGTTGCTCTTTTCACATTCAGCATTCTAAAACAAAAATAATTTTTAAATGTTTGTAAAAATCTAAAACTTTCTATCCATTTAAAATCGTTTTCTGATCAAAATAATGTACAAATAATAATATTCTATTGCTTCATAATGGCTGCCAGATAAAATATACCTTATTATTTATTTACAAGTGTAGCAAAACACCCACCTATCAAAATATGCTGACATTGGTGTTTGTACCTCTGTTAGGGTCCAGTGATCAAAATCCATTACTGTTCTTTATCCGCAAAACAAGCTAAATTGGACAAACATTGCAAAAAGTAGCACTAGATAATACCCCATTCACACCTTGCAGTTTAGGAACAAAGGGTGGCAGTGGGGGCAATAGGGGTAAAAAAGGTCAATATGAGCAAATTTCTAATGTTTTTACTTTATTTCAGTGAGATTCTAAGTGGTTCTGACTAAGCGAGATGAAATTATGGGGGATAAAAATCATGATTTTGTTTGTGAGTGGTTTACAAGCTGAAGACATTTTACCATACTTGGATGGCTAACAAGCCGATATTCTTTAGCAAATAAGTAACCATAAAACAACAATTTCAAGCTACAAATTTGGTAAAGTAGTTGCGGATGAAAAGGACCCGACAGACCCTGGGAACAGCCTCCACACTGAATCATATGAGCCCAGGAGAACCGTAAGCATGACGTCTAGGTCGGTAGCAACCCGAGGTACAGTATGTACACAGGGGTTAGAACGGCAGATGCTGTGCGACTTCCTCAGCGCCACCGGGAAAGTGGAGTTTGCGATTAAAGTAACATTAGGAAGATGTGCAGAGGGCACGGAGGCCATGCGTCAGGGAATAACACGGGAATGTTTCTCGTAAGCAGTACTGTGCTTGAGCGCAGCCGTCAGGGCCTGCAGTCCGGGCGCGGCTGTCCTGGGGACCGTGTCATCTGCGGCTAAAACACTGTCCTTCACGGGGAATTACGACCGTCTGCTGCAGAACGCCTGAGGCCCTTTTGAGAAAGGCAGGGCCGACCTCTCGGAACCCGCGTGCACTTCACGCCAGCGCGGTCTGGCAGCATAGCTAATTGGGGTCTGAAATTGATTTTAAGTCCCCCGACAGAAGCCATTAATTACATGACTTCAACTCGGGGACATCGCCGGGTTGTAAACACAAAAGGCGCGGCCGGCCTATCGACCCCACTGACCGCGATGATAAACACCTCAAGTGTCGAACCGGCGCCCAAGTTTTTCGACCAATCAGTTTAATGGCCGAAGAGATCCCCCTGCCAATGACAAAGCGGATTGGGCGCTCCATGCCGAATCAGGTGGTCTCCATGTTTCTGCTAAATAACTCTGTGCTGGATTGTTGTTTTTTTGTCGCTTTCAGTGGTGAACTGCTCAGATCCCGGGATCCCGGCCAACTCCATCCGGGAGAGTAAGATCGAACACGGCAACTTCACCTTCGGTACTGTAGTCTTCTACGACTGCAGCCCCGGGTACTACCTCTTCGGGTCGTCCGTGCTCACCTGCCAGCCCACGGGGCAGTGGGACAAGCCACTGCCCGAGTGCATCGGTGAGTCGGACCCACCCTGATGTGCCCCATTTACCACTGATTGATCCCAGATTACTCCCTGGGCCCCCGCCGCTCAAGGTCGGCAAGGTGACGTAGCGACAGGGTGGACAGCTGGGCTACATGCTAATGTTGCCAAGTTTCAGCTCAGCCCAGGTAGGCAGAGATGAATGCCCCCTGCCTCTCTTAACCAGCCATTCGCACGGCTGAAGGAACACATGACCATGTCTGTCCAATCAGCTTTATGCTCCTGGTCACATGATGTGAGGGGGTGGGGCTGAAAAATTCTCACTGTATCATCAGTGACCAAGCAAAATGGCATAACTAAAAATGGAACGTAAATGTGTGTATTTTTGGCTCTTCTTTAGATCCATCTGCATACCGTACAAGACGGCAGATGTGTTAAGGAGACTACACTTAGGGTACATGTCCTGAAAATGAAAGCTACTGGATGAGAAACGGTTACTTTCCCCCTACGTCTCCTTTGCCAACACGTTCTCATTTCATCGAACAGTAACAGCTTTCTAAATTAATACCATGTCTAATTAAATCAGAAGAGGCTCCTTTTAGGCTCTCCCGCCCCTTTTGAAAGGATCACAGTTTTCCCGAAATGATAATCTGCTGATAATAACTAGAACAAACAATAATAAACATGTCATCTAATTTCCCTGTTACCTATGAAACTGGACACAGTCTTTGTTTTATCCACGCCGTTGTATCGGGCGCAAAATCGGTTGTGAAGTTCAGCCTCTTTGAAACGTGTCAGGGTGATTTTTCATGCAGCATTTATTTCGGGTCCTCAGCAGAAAGTAGAGGCGACTGTAGCCCCTCCCCACCAACCTGGAAGGGAGGTTAGCCGCATTAGCCATGCCAGGCGCTCATATAACTTTCCCCTGCTTTTCAGTCATCGACTGCGGCCACCCAGGCTCTCCCCCCAACAGCGTCCTAATCGGAGACAAGTTCACCTTTGGCTCGACGGTGCGCCTCACATGCAACGGCGGGAGGGAGCTGAAAGGCCAGGCGTCACGCACCTGCCAGCTCAATGGCCACTGGAGCGCCCCCATGCCGTACTGCTCAGGTAACAGCGCCGCCCTGCTGGCCAACATGCTGCAACAGCCGGTAAACACTCATGATACTTTAAAAGGTTAGAGGTCTGAATGTGAGATGCAAAGGTCTGACTTCACCCGGGAGCCTCTAGATGGTTCTTCCTTTCACTTCGACCACCTCCACCGTGTAGCAGCCACCTTGATCATGCGACAGCAGCCATTCTGTGCCAGTAAACCCACCACGCAGTAGCTAAGGGGATGATTAGGGGGCCACATTTAAAAGGGCCACAGTGGGCAATTTTAGCCTAGACACCCAGGTACTGCCTCTATATGACCAGAGAGAAAATTATATCTGGGGCTTCAAACAGACTAAGATGGCAGATAATCAGCTTTTTAAGTCTGTTTAAATTTTTGGTTCCTTTGGTTCGGCATGCATTTGCCGCACGGAACCTAGCAGTACTTCTCGGAGTCAGTGGCTGAGCTCAGTAAATACCTTGAACCGGTCCAATTTGGAAGGAATTGTCATCTGGCTCCATTTGATTAAACTTTCCAATGACTCCTTTGGGAGGCAATGTAATTGTGGAGAGATGTCTGTCAGACAGGATGTTGTCGTTCTGTCGGAAACGAGTCGCGGGAGTCACGGGATTCGCGGGAGTCACAGGAGTCACGGCACCCCGGCGCCGCTAATGATCCATGGATGGCGGCAGCACTCTGTTTGACGTCTTCTTATCGCAAAGCGAAGCGGTCTGTTCTGCATGCCGCTGCTCCTCCTTTCTGCCTGAGGAGCCCCACCCCCCCCCACTTTGAGACGGTCATCTTGAGGAAAAGCCTTCAGAGATAAATTATCACGTGAATGAGAGAGGGACAGAGCTGTCGGCCGAGGCGGGGCTGCGGAGCGTGAGAGCCATCGGGCGGTGCTGTGAAAGGGCCTGGTCAGAGCCGCCCTCAGTCACTACTGCCCTCTCTTATCGGGCCCGGAGACCCCGCTTCCCCTGGTACAAACTCCAAGATTCCCAAAGACCAGCATGTTCGTCAGGCAGCTGTTGTTGCTGTTGGATGTTTCCAAAGTCAGTCTCACAGAGGAGCCAACGTCCAAATCTAACTACCATGGACGGCTGTGCTGTGTGGTCCTCGCTGGCCCCGTTAGAGACCCCCTGTGACGTCTCACCCCAGCGGGGCACCTGCTCATTAAGAGAACATTTTGCACACAGATGGGTGGTAATTATCACAGCGGGAGGGGTGGGGGGGCATGGGAAGGTGGGGCTGGCATGTTTTTGTTGGTACTGTAAGTAGTGACCATCTCAGTGCCTCCAAATTCCAGACTCTTACTCCATCTCCTCCCTTCTTGAGACTGTGACACTCCTCCCCCCACCCCATGGGGCCGTCCCCCTCGGAGCCGATGTACGCAGACACCGCTGTTCATCCGTAAAATCGTCGTCAAGCACGAAGCGAAATGCCACCGCAAACCCACTCAGTGCTGAGCTCCCTGACCTGGAAAACAGATTGTGGCATGGTGGGGGTGGGGGGGCTCCATGCCCTCTCCTCCTCCTTACAGGCACTGACCCTTTATACGCCCTTCAATTTGCCCTTGTCTACGGACCCTGGGGTGTGTGTGTGTGTGTGTGTGTGTGTGTGTGTGTGTGGTGGATTTGGTCTATATTACATTGTGGGGACCATTTTTCGGTCCCCATAAGAGGAAGCTCAATTTTGTACAGATCTGTGACTGCAATCAAAAAACGAATAATGTTAAAAGTCTTGTATTTTGCTTGGTTACTTATGGTTAAGGTTAGGGCTGGGCAGGGGTTACGGGTGTCGTTGTTGGGATTAGGGTTTTGCCTATAGGAATTAATGGAGAGTTCCCACAAAGATATAAGTACAGGTGTGTGTGTGTGTGTATGTGTGTGTGTGTGTGTGTGTGTGTGTGTGTGTGTGTGTGTGTGTGTGTGTGCACGAGCGCACATGCAGTCACATGGTTGATATACAATGATGTCAGACACCAAAGATTATAAAGTGGCTAATTACTGTTGCATCGATCATTTTCGATTTGTCTTCAGCCCTTAATGCCGCATGGTTTGCACACTCACCCCATTCAAACAGTGACTCTGCCCCTGAGTCAGGCATACAGGCAGGGGGCTGGGGGTCACTGGGGCTGCAGTGGCCCCGCAGTGGCCCCACAGTGGCAGTACCCTAGCCCCAGACTGCTGTAAATACTCTTCTTTCTTCTCCCCACACTGGCTGTTTTCCCTGTAACCCCCCCCCCATTAGGGAGGAATCCTAACTGCTTTGAAAGGTTCTGTAATTCCTCACTGCAGGAGGATGCAACCGGGCCGTGCCTCTTATTCAGCGCCAAGCCGCACGTGTCTCAGTTAGCGGACGGACCCATCAGCGGCTGGGTGCAGCTCAACGGGTTCCGTCCGTCTGCGTTTGGACGGGGGGGTTCTGTATCACATGAGCCCGGACCGCTTCACCAAGCACGGGGGGGTCCAGCCTGGGCCCCCCACTTCCTTACGATGATGTCAGTTGAAGTGTCTGTACTATTTGTCTGTACTGAAGTGCTACTGAGTCCTGCACCCTGGCCACCTCCCCAGTTTAATCCCACACCCCATAGCTGCGGCATAACCAGAATGCCCTCCTGGGGGGGCACCAGGATGTTCGAATTGCATCAGAGGTCTTTGGGGGTCCTCTAGTTCGTAAAACTTGTCAACCAGTGGAGGGTTCTGTTGAATCACTGATATTTGGTTGAATTTGGTCAGTATCTGTCGGGTGGCCACATGATTGGTCGTACGTCCAGATGATTAGTCATTCGTCCCTGCCCCCCTTTGGCTGTGTAACCTGGTCCCCACCCCCCTAGTCTCAGGTTGGCACCACCCTTAAACCTCAGTCAGCAGTTGGATTGACTGCTGTGTCGGCTGGCAGATGGTGCGTTCTGGACACACAGGTGCCAGGTGACACACCTTCCCCAGACCCAGTCCATTTCTCTGAGACTCAGGGTTAAACTGGTATTCAGGCTGAGTAATGATGCCTGATTAGGCTCCTCCCTAGGTATTCGTTAAAACAGGCCCTGCTCGTGCTCGCCACCTAGCAGCCAGTGGCTGTACTGCAGGTATTTTCTGTTGGCTGGGCGGTCCGGCCCCTGGAGAGGGGGCTGGTACCCTTGGGCCGGATGAAGTCGGAGCTGGAGACAGCCGCTGTCCCACGGTGACAAGCAGAAAGTAAGCCTCACCCGGCTGTGACACACAGATCTCGCTTTCAAGGAGAGCTAAGGTAGGATCTGAGCCTAAATCAGCCCTGTTTATGAATTAATAAGTACAGGAAACAGCCTGTAGCTCTCGTATCAGCTTCTGAAATCCATCCCCTGGGTCCCCAACGGGCAACATCTATCTGCAGCTCCAAAACAAGTGGGCTTTCGCCGTTTCCTGAACCAGCTCTTATTAAGGTTACCACACAGAAAGTTACTACAGTATTTCCTTGTGCTAATTACGGATAATACTTGGTCATGCTCAAATAAAGTACCCAAGTACGCTCAGAAATTAAATTCAGTGAGCATTGATATGTGTGTTTTCCCATGCAGTCTGGATGGTGCCCCTGCTGCCAGAGTATGCTTAAAAGCTTGCTGTTTCTAGAAAGTGCCAATGTAACTGATGCATCCTCCCTGATGACGGAAGATTGCAATTCGCATGCAAAAAGCAGGGCTGCTCGACGGGGAGAAGTCAGTGGCCTACGTGACGTCCCGTATCAATCAGAAATATCAATTTCCTTCCAACCTGAACCGGAATATGACAAGATTCCAATATCCCAGCCGAGTGCTCAACCGAACAGGATAACGAGCCAGCAGAAGGGGAAGCAGCTTCCCATGTTCTGGAATATTCCCCGGCGGGAAAGCGTATGGCTGACCTCTGCCCCCGTCCCTCCACACAGGTGACTCGTCTGGAACCTGCGGGGACCCCGGCACCCCATCCCACGGCAGCAGGGAGGAGAGTGACTTCAAGGTCCGCAGCAAGGTCCGCTTCAGCTGTGCCACGGGCTACACGCTGTACGGCTCAGCCGAGCGCGTCTGCTTCACCAACGGCACCTGGTCGGGGAGGCAGCCCTCCTGCAAACGTGAGCCTCCGGCGCCTCCTACAGGCACCCGCATGTAGCGGTAACAAAATTCCACACTCCCTGTTCACGGGGACCCTGTCTTCCGCCGTGCTGCCCACCTGCCGTGAGATGATCTGGACTAGTGGTTTATTCGGTAGTCGCGGTTAGCGGTCAGGGGATTAGGGATGTATGCAGGGGCGGGGCTGAAAGCTGATTGGCCCCTGGAGTGCCGAAGCCCTGCCACTCACCATTTCCACACATATCACTAACAGTAAGGTTGACCCCTCCCCCCCTTTGTATGAATTATGGCCATCTTATTCTCCCCATTAAAAAATAAACATCCTAGATTTGCCCCAGTCTCCACCCACTCCCAGGCCTGCTGCACCCTGAAAAGGCATCCCCGCCCTCTCTGAAGCTTGTTCATCTCCCCGGCGGCAAGTCCGCTTTTCGATCTAGTCTCCCGCAGAGCCAGAATGCAGCATTTTCTCAGCCGCGGTCCGCAGGCCACTTTTGAAAGGCAGACTTTACACGCTTGGTGTGTCCTCATGCGTGTCCCCAGCAGCACGGGAACGCATTCCGGATGACATCTAAATGGGTCGGATACAGACACCCACCACCCACCCCACCTCGCCCCAACCTCAAGCTCCTCCCCTTTTCAGCGGGACGTGCTCATCATACACATTTCCGTTCTGCTGCCGCAGTTTAGCTTTGCAGTTAAATAGATTAACAGATTGTTAACTCACTGGCCCTGGGGGTCTGCAATCTCTCTACGATTAAGCCCCCCCCCCCCCTACCCCAGCCCTTTTATCTTTGATCTAAAATCTTTTCCCGTCCTGTCATCCTCTCCTCCTCCAGCCTCCGAAACAGACGTTTCGCTCATTTCTTCTTTCAACCTCTCCCCGTAGCAACCGTGTCCCTGGCTATTCTTAGATGTTTATAAATGTACAATTTTTTTTTTACGCTTCTCTTTGCCTTTTAATTTCATTTCTCCCCGCTTTTTCTTCCCTCCTTTGAGTTCCTCGTGTATTTCCCGACACAAACAGGGAGGCTGTAGAGCGGTGTCTGTCATGAAAAGGTCGATCTGAATGACGGCGCCCTCCCTGGTGGGACGGTGTAAACGCTCCCATATTGCAGATCGGCACTCCTCTGCATGTGCACAGATGCTTTTGCTTTTAGAGGGCAGAGTCTGCTTTGGTAGCATGTTGCTTGTCTGTCTGACCACGGTGTGCCCATTCCCCCATGCAGCGGTTCAGTGTGGTAACCCCGGCACGCCCAGCAACGGCCGCGTGTTCCGCCTCGACGGCACCAGCTTCTCCCACTCTGTCATCTACTCCTGCATGGACGGCTACATCCTCTCCGGCTCGTCCACACGCCAGTGCCTGGCCAATGGTACCTGGTCCGGCAGCTCCCCCAACTGTACCAGTAAGTATCCCACACCCCCACTCCCGCTAGTGGAGATTCAGATCTCGTCCGACCGGCAAGTGGGAAACCTTTCTTCTGGAAAATGATGCTCGAACCCTTAGACAGAAGGGGTCAGGGGTTCCCAGGGAAGAAGGGTGTCATTTAATAAATCAGCCAGTGAGAGCAGGGCGCGGCCTTGGGCATCTCTCATAAAAGGAGCTCCATTGATCTCATGAATTATAGTCTTGAAGTTATTTGGGCAGAGAAGTTGAAACGGAATGGGAGAGCGGGGTTCTGTAAGGATTCCCAAGGATGAGCACAGAAGTGAAGAGAGGATGAGGTCAAGGGACGCCATGGCAACCCCTTCTCCAGGAAGTCGATCGAAACAGCCCCCCCACACAACCTGTCATGCGTCTGCATGCATTCATGAATCTGCACCATCGCATGAAGGAATCTGTGCCGCTTAAACTTCCACCCGGTGCTGCGGAGATTAGCCTCGTTTTATTTGTATCATATACAGTTATTTGGAACCTCAATGGAAAATGTGTTACCTGCTGATGGGCTGTAGAATGTGTCTGTGGGATTGTGGTCAATATCAGAAACGGGTCTGATGTGATTTTCTCAAATAAAACTTTCATAATTTTCCCCCAGCTGAGCGATTGTCATCCTCTCCTCCTCCAGCCTCCGAAACAGACGTTTCGCTCATTTCTTCTTTCAACTTCTCCCCCTCTCCCGTCGCAACCGTGTCCCTGGCTATTCTTAGATGTTTATAAATGTACTATTTTTTTTTTACGCTTCTCTTTGCCTTTTAATTTCATTTTTAATTTCATTAAAGCGATCCTCATTCCGTTTCATTCTGGCGACCCCTTCCTCCCCACGCCCATCTAGACGCTCTCCCTTCCTCTCACCTTGGCCCCCGTCACGCAGGTAGGCTGCCGGTAACCCGGCGGCGTGCGAGCGCCTGACAAGTCTTAAGGCGGCGTTTACCCCGCCTGGCTGACTCACGCCGTCCCGCGGCGCCGGTCGCTGAGAGAGCTGAACCGGAGGCAGAGATCGTAAACGCTCGCTGTGCCCGACGAGCACAAACACACAAATGTGCACAAACGAGCGTCGGGGTGAAGTGTCGCGGCGAGCAAGCCGCTCACTCCGTCTCCACTGCACTTAGCGGTGGGGGGGCGGCACAGAGCCTGAGCCGGCATTTGTTTTTTTTTTTTTGCGTGCCAATAAAGTAGCTCAGCGTCCCCTCAAGCGTGAATGGAACTTCCCTGCTATGCTGGGCAACCCAGGACCCGGGAAAATCCATTCGTCCGGCTGGGTGTTTCCTCCGCGACCGAAGTGCGTCCTCCATCCTTTTGCGAGCACTAACTTACCATTACCGGGCTACGGAGATGGACCCCTAAGCGCCAAAGCAGACGTGTAATAAAGCCAGACGTTTACGCGAAGGAAGGTTACGCCCATGTCTGGGATGGAAGTGCCGTGAGATTAATGCTGCTATAATTGGAGAACAGTAGAGTGCTGGTCAGAGTGTGAACCATAAATAATACAAGCACTTCTAATAACCTACTGATAATACAAATAAATCATCTTTATATTGCGTCCTTGATTGTGTAAAAACTGTTCAAATAGAAGTCCGCCATATTTCTTTTGGCCTTGCCAACCTATTAAATTGAAAAGTGGTAAGTCGCTCGGCCTGCACATAATTCGAGGCCTCGAGATATAGCCAAACCCTTAGTATTACACTGTATAAACCAGGTTTATTTGGTCTGTTGCTTTTGCTACTGAGGGATTTTTAATACTAAGATATTTTCAGCTTTGTATAACATTGCATGAAAATCCAGTTCAAGTTCTGTGGCATCACAGACAGCTATTCTGGCCTGTTTAGCCAGACCTCGACAGCCTGAGAGGGTAGAAGTACTCCTTTCCACCACCTATATCAGTGAAAATACTCATCTTTTTCCACGCAGGATTCATAAAGGGCTGCAGCAAGTTGAATGAACTGTACTTCCTTTTGTAATTACTTGCGGCATTAGACTGATAGTGGACCAACTATGTTGCGATTGGTGGGTGTTAACAATGTAGTCGTATCTGATTGGCTGGAGCTGCAGGAATCACGGAGCAAAATGGATAGGATATGGCAGCTTGCCCATGATGTTGCTGTGAGTAAACCAAAGGAATCTCCGTGTGTCTCATAATCCGCAGGCACCCCCAGTCCAACCTCTGCTTCACCCCCTGCAGGGATCAGTGTGGCCGTCCCATGGGCAGCAATGAGTTAATTACTACACGCTGGTCCCACTCCACCTGTTTCCCTTTTCTCTTCCTAAGTTAATCTGCCCATTCAGGTGGGCCCCGCAGACCCACGTCTCTGTGTGTTTTTAGACTGAGAAGCATTGTAACATTTGACTTTTCCTTCAAAGCCCACCCTCCCAATAAGTCATTTTGAAACATAGGCATTAAAACAGCTTAGAGGAAAATGGCGGAAAATGGCGGATCTGCACCTCTCAGACGCCCAAATTTCCGAAACTCGAGACACTTCTCCTCGGCCATTTTCCCCTTTTTCATCCAGTGGAGACAAACGTAATTGTGAGAGATCTACAGGATTGATTACTGAAGTTAAACCTCAGGGACACCTATGAGAAAAGAGTTTGCCAGTTGGCACCCATTGATTTTTCCTTCCCCCCCCCTATATAATGGTGAGATCTATCATTTTGAATGAAAAGCCCAATCTGGAGACACCTCGATCGCTGCATAAATATGTTGTTTGAGGTGATTTGTGAATCTGGCTTCCTGGGGTCAGTTTCTCCTGCTGTTTTATTTCACACAGGATTCCATACCTAAATGGGCAATAATCATGTTATCATTCCCTTTGTTGTGGTTTTCCAAACAGCTATTTTTTTCAAAGCTTACATTCTCTCTGTGTTGTTGCATACATGATTTGATATATTTAGTTTAAGTCATTATGCATTATAATTACCACAGAGGGATAATTAAACTAAAAAGGCCTGAGAATTTCGTAATTGCTGTACAAACAGAAATGTGCGTGGGTCTTTTGTTCTGGAATGTTCTGGTGTTCTTCCGCCTTTTAGTGATCAACTGCGGGGACCCCGGCGTCCCGGCCAATGGGCTGCGGTATGGTGAGGACTTCACCATCAACCAGAACATCACCTTCGTCTGCCAACCGGGCTACACGATGGAGCCTGCCAGCTCCGTGATCCGCACCTGCACTGGGAACGGGACGTGGAGTGCTGTCATGCCCGCCTGCAAAGGTAGCTTCCAGCTCCTGTCCATGTGTGGGGGGGTAGGTGGCATTTTGGGACAATGTGCAGCCATTTGAGCGTCAAACGTAATGGGAAGCTCTCATTGTTTTGCTCCTGGTTTAACTTGGATGCTGTTTACCACATTAATCGGTCTACGAATTCTCCATTCTTTGACTTGGCTCGAATAAGCTTTCTGTTCTTGTTTCATCACGGAAGTTCCGCTGCGGAGTATTTCGGCTTGGTCTCCATCTTCCTCGGCGCCCCAAAGTTCGATAAACTTTTAATAAGCGTCTTTCGCGCCATTGTTTGTGCCGCGCAGAAGCGCTCACAGCGACGCCGGCAGCGCTCCTTAAAACCTGCGGCGAGGCGGCAGCTTGGAAATCTGTGTAAGCTGAGATCATGTGAAATGACATTACCACAGGGCTCAATCCCATAGATAAGCACAGGGGTCGGCCCTCAGCATGCAGCGGGTGCTCCCCAGTGCCTAATGCACTCTTCAGGTTTATCCTGTAACAGGCCGGGGATATGTACATCCTGCATGCCTAGGGACAGGGTTTGGGTCATTGTGACCCCACCTGGCAGCCGCTCACCAGTGGGTGTGGAGGGAAACCGAAACTCCAGCTCTGGTGATGTCCTTGGGGCGCTTTAGACCCCCGGGTGACCTGGGGAGTGCACGTCAGGAGGGGACATGTGGATATGTGTCCCCCCCCCACCCCACCCTGTGGTGCCTGACAGTGTGGCTGATACTGTAGCCATCCTATAATCCCTGAGCACCCCGCCCTCAGAACAGCCTGCTCCGTTCACAGAGTTTTAGAGATGGGCATTACCGCCTACTTCCTCTCTAATTCCATTACGGGGTGTGCATCAGGGCCCTCAGTGTCTCTGGGTCGTCTCCGGTGTGGAATGGGCCATGGCAGTCTGTTCCCTCCTAAGCTGATTTAACTTAATCCTCATCCTTGTTCTCCGTCCTGGCCTGCTGTCTTTCACTGTACTCTTTAGTTTTTCCTGGGGCAGAAACCATTTCCGGAGGCAACCAGCTACATCCCACGAATTACGGTAGAAGGGCTACCCTCTCTGAACTGCATGTCCCGCAAGGTTTTTTTTTTTGGCAGAACCAATGTGAAGGAAGCTGCGTGGGTGCTCTCTTATTGTACGGCAGGATGGGAGAGGGTCACTCAGGTTTAAGAGGGGGCGGATGCATCCGCACGGGAATGGCTCGTTTTCCACGTTTGACCACCTCGACAGTGAGAACCTGCCACATCCAATCTTGTATTTCCCCTCTGGTACAGTGCCACTGTGGAGAGGCAAAGTCACTGCTCTTCTCTGATCCCCGGAAGGTCAGATGAATAATCCTCACAAGCGAGCTCAGCATTATGGCGGCCTTCGCCAGCGCCCCGATGTCTGTATTCATTGTAATCTACTTACTGGTGCCAGTTCTGCTCATTTGATCACGTCCCGCCTGCAGTGTAATTACGCGCATTTGGGGAATCCAGTCATTGTCTTACTTTCACCCGGATCCACTTGGTTTTCTCGTCTTCTCATCCTCCTGACTGGAGGGTTTGTGTTCTGAAGCCTCTCTTTAAATGAGTACCTGGGTACACAGCTCATAGTATTGCACCTGACAGCCGTGCTCTCCAGCTCACAGGGAAGCCGTCATACATGTTAATATCATATTAAGCGCGACTGACTTCACATGTCTGTGTTCTACTGTGAAATCTGGACCCCCTGCGGAGTCACCTCCTCTATCTCTCTGTCTGTCTCTCTGTCTGCCCCTCTCTCTATCTGTCTGACTGTCAATCTGTCTGTCCCTCTATCTGTCTGTCTGTCAGTCTCTCTCTGTCTGCCCCTCTCTCTATCTGTCTGTCTGTCTGTCAGTCTCTCTCTGTCTGCCCCTCTCTCTATCTGTCTGTCTGTCAATCTGTATGTCCCTCTCTCTATCTGTCTCTCAGTCTCTCTCTGTCTGCCCCTCTCTCTATATGTCTGTCTGTCTCTCTATCTGTCTGTCAGTCTCTCTCTATCTGCCCCACTCTCTCTCTATCTGTCTGTCAGTCTCTCTGTCTGTCTGCCCCTCTTTCTATATGCCTGTCTGTCTCTCTGTCTGTCTCTCTGTCTGTTTCTCTCTATCTGTCTGTCAGTCTCTCTCTATCTGCCCCACTCTCTATCTGTGTTTCTCTCTCTGTCTGTCTGTCTCTCTGTCTGTCCCCCTCTCTCTATCTGTCTGTCTGTCAATCTCTCTCTGTCTGCCCCTCTCTCTATCTGCCCCACTCTCCATCTGTCTCTCTCTATCTGTCTGTCTCTCTCTCTGCCTCTCTATCTGTCTGTCTCTCTGTCTGCCTCTCTCTATCTGTCTGTCTGTCTCTCTCTGTTTATGCTGGTTGATGTGAAGGAGGTTTAATTGGGACTGTATTATTTCTTAGGTGAATAAATCTGCCCTGCTTGCAGCCGCACGTGCCCGTGGATGTGTAAATCTCACAATCGCAATATTAATACGGAGCTTGGATATTTATCCCGCATTTGTTCACATTATTTCAGAAACCCTCTCACGAAACTGTAAGCACTGACAGCTCTGTCAAGACTTCTGCTTCTTTCGTGGATTTAAATGAAAGGATTCATTACCTCCGAACGTCCTTTTATAATCTGCTGGATCTATCATTAATCAACAATTGATTTCCCCGGCTTCCAGAGCTTAATCGCAGGGAACACAGCGCAGTAGGCATCAGTCGAATGCCGTTACCTGTAACACACTCATTCAGCAGGTTTGAACGGACGCCAGTTAGCATGCCCAATGAGCGGCCTGGCTAACTGCAGATATCAGCTGACTCATGAAGTCACCCACAGATGATAGCCCTTCCTTTCTCCTCTTTTTATGAAGCAAACGGAGTCAGTGACCAGGCACCGACTCAGACTGAGTCATGGCCACCCACGATCCCTCAGACAGCTGCTCGCAGCGATCACTTGTTTTCCCTGCTGTTCCGCTTCAGCAAAGCATTTTTAAAGAGGCACTGAAGCCGATTCTGTCCCCCTCCCCCTCAGCTGTCACCTGCGTGGCCCCCCTGCCCATCTCTAACGGCATCCTGGAGGGCACCGACTTCGAGTGGGGCACCAGTGTGAGCTACAGCTGCACGCCAGGCTACGAGCTCTCCTTCCCCGCCATCCTCACCTGCGTGGGCAACGGCTCCTGGAGCGGCGAGGTGCCCCAGTGCCTGCGTGAGTAGCCCCGCCCACGTGGCGGTCGTCATGACGGCAGCCGGAATGCCTTTGATTGGTGGACTCGGGACGAGCGTATCGATAGGGACAGGATCAGTCATGATTATTTTCAGCCACCTTGAAGCCTTACCGTTACAATGATGTGGCATACTCTAGGCAGTTAACTGAATTATGGGTCGTGCGAGTCTTGTTCTGTCCATGAGCAATTATCGGTTAATGCAGCATTTAAAATGAGGCCACCTGCAAGATCTGTAAACAGCAGGTGGATGCTGATGGAAATAATGCACCCATTTGATATGGGACCATCATACCACATGATGTGTTGAATATGCCTGCAGCACGGGTGCGGTCTGATGACAGCAACAGCGCATTATAACCATTCGCATAACACGCTTACACTGGGGTTATCCTAAGTGCAGAATATTTTGTCTCTGTGTTGTTTCCTGAAGTTGTATTTTTGAAATTTACCCTGTGGCCAAAATAATAACTCACATGTTGGAACAGGGCTTATAAAGGATGTGACAGAAAGCATATATACAAAGTACAATAAATCCCATTAAAATATTACTCATACTGCAACAGAGTGCTAATTATGCAGTTACCATTTTAACATTGTTTTTTATCTGTGTATTAGATTACTTAACTATGTTAAATAAAATCTCTCTATCTGGTAGGATATTCATGTTATTGAAGGCTTGAAATTTCTTCAGAGGCATTGTTGGGCACAGAGCAGGTTAATAATGAATTATGAAATTCTAATTTTCCTTAAAAAGCCAGCATTCAAACCAAGCGCCGACAGCCCAGATAGGATGAAACTCTTCAGCTGAATGAAAGCACAACGCTGGCTTTGTAGTTTGCCCACTGATTTTCTTTCTTTTTTTTTTTTAATCTTGACAATGTATCTATTATTCATCAAGAAGAGTCAAGCTTGTACTCCTGGTTTGCAGACTCGGGAGTCTGCCTGCTCTATTCATTATGCATGAGGCTTCTGTGAAATCAGACACTTAGCATTGATTTTCCCTGAGAACACCCGATTGTTTCCGGGACAGTAGCTCGTCATGGGGGCAGCAGCGAGACGGGGCGGCGATGGCTGTCCGATGCAACTTCCTGTCCTAAGATCGCAAGCGTGTAGTTCCACAGGAGCAGCTGATGGGGGCGCTTTAAGGCAGCAGTGGCCCTGCATACTGTATGTCTGGCTCTGCTCTGTCTGCCATGCCTTTCCTGTCCTCCCCACAGCCAAGTTTTGCGGGGACCCTGGCGTGCCGGCCCATGGCATGAGAGAAGGTCGGAGTTTCATCTATCAGTCAGAGGTGTCCTTCAGCTGCAGCGCCCCCTACATCCCGGTGGGCTCCACCACACGCATCTGCCAGGCTGATGGCACTTGGAGTGGATTCCAGCCACGCTGTATAGGTACCTCACTGCATTATGATATACCAGATAGCTGTATAGGTACCTCACTGCATTATGATATACCTGTAGCTGTATAGGTACCTCACTGGATTATGCTATACCAGATAGCTGTATAGGTACCTCACTGCGTTATGAAATACTTGTAGCTGTACAGTTACCTCACTGCATTTTGTTATACCTATAGCTATATAGGTACCTCACTGCATTATGCTATATCTGTAGCTGTAGTGGTTTCACACTGCATGAAATTGCATTTTATTACACCTCATTGTAGCCATGTAGGTCCCTTCTCAAAAGCAGTGGCACTGAATTGCTTTAGCAGACCGCTGAATTTAACTGATGCTTTAGAAATGGCAGATGGTGTGTGGGTATTAAAACATATGCATGTCTGTTTGCATAAGCTAGTGTGTCATAGGTGAGGACATCTGTGTCTAGGAAGAGCTTCCCGCTCTTCTTTCTCCTTTCCAGTTCAGTTTCACTTTTCCCAGTTCCAAGATGCTGTTTGTCAGTGCCATCCCTCAGCGTAGCTGCATCCTGTTTGTTACAGGCGCATTGCAGTGGGATGACACATTGTCCTTCACTGCAGTCTTTACCCCTGCTCTGTCTATCGCTTGTTCTCCCCTCTGTGCCCCGAATTGCATCACGTTCGCCTCACTCCAGCATGCGTTCCTGACAGCCAGTGGCTATCTTTCACAAGGTTCTGTGCGCCTTGGCCAAATGGATGCATCAGGGATACCGAGGGGGCGGGGCCATGCTGTGATCACTGCAGAGGTCACCGGGGTCATGACGCCTCTTTAGCTAATGCCCCCATTCATGGAAATGATTGCATGTGTCCAGCTCGTCATGTGACCTGCGTCATGTGACATCCCAGTACATTTATAATTTGTGCGGATGGAGAAGCCAGCTGAGTTTAATGGGAAGCACGGAGCCTGGTGATCCGATCACTATGGCACTTTCGGTATGACCAGCCGGTTCCAGACACCCTTTAATCGGCTTGATCTCTTTTTCCAGTTAAGTCACTTGTAGCCCCTCAGCATCAGAACCGAAATCAGGCACCAAGCTAAGCACGACTCGTGAGAGTGGAGATGTGAGCGCTCATTAGTTGCCATTACAAGATTACTGAGCAGCAATGGACCGTGTGGAATTAGTGGGCGCTCTTAGTCGGGCCCTCTGGAAAGGGCTCAGCCCAGTTCTCATCTGCAGTCAGGGCAGGCAGTGGGAGGGACACCCCTGCCTGGAACATCACGGCCCAGAACGTGAGAGATAAAAACCAGAGACTCATTTGTCGTACAGAGAGTGACTGGAACAAAACCTATACCTGAAAAGGTCTACAGATATGGGTCCTCCTTTGAAAGCACATGCAAATAAGATGCATATGTCCTGTTAGTCTGGGGACTTTTGCTTAGATGGACTCCCATTAGCCAGATTCTCTGTAATTTGATTTCGGAAAACTTTTGAGATTTCCACGCAGGTGCACAGTCTTCCGGCCCTGGTTCTCTATGAAGCTTCAGTCCATGTGTCCATCATCTCGTTTTTGATTGGATTATTCAAATGACCAGGCAGGCAGATCCTAAGCAATTCCTTTTAAGGGCAACTGAAGAAAAAAGGAGAGTGGTAAGCGAGGGAAGTCAGAGGACGGATGTGAGAGGCTTACCGATGCATCATGGGTAGACCCTGAATCCCTTCCTTTCATCACCTATGGTGCTCTTTCTTACTGATAGCAAGCAGAGGCTCTCCAATATGATTCAGTATCTGGCAGTAACAGGATACGGTCACAATAACTTTGCTCATTACATGTTGATTCTTTATGTATTAAATGCTGAACCGTTAGAGCCCGTCAAATAAGATAAGCATGAGAGAAACAGGAGTATCTGTCACGATCGTTAAGTTTTCCATAAGCCTGGTTGTTTTAGCACATTTGAGAGAAGGACAGTGTGCCAAATTAAACACAGTCTGTTTTTGTCCGAGCAAACGAATGTTGGTTGTTTAGAGGCTCAGGGCACGTTAAATTATTTCGGCCCTGGTAGCGAGAGGCTAAATGTCCGCTGCTCAGCACCTAAATCCTGTCCATCCTCCTGGGGATGATTACCAGCAGGAAGATGAACCTCCTGAGCTCAGGTGCCCAAGGCTGCCCTGCTTCTCCGTTAGCCTCGAGTACTCGGGGCTCATCCCATACGCTGGTAGGCACTGGGCTGCTACGCCACTCCGAATTCTCCCCTGTCAGGTGCATGACCAATACGGCTCACGAGCTGAGCAAGTCTTCTATCATAGTCTGGACCGTCCCCACGGCGACAGGCGCTGCAACTCGGAAGTGCTCCCGCTGTAACCGCGGTGCTGGGCCGCAAGCCAGCTGCGCGAGACTCTAACTCGTCTCACAAAGAGTCGCAGGCTCGCCCTGCCTGTACGCCCTGGTCCACAACACACACACACACGGTCACAGCTCAGCGCAGGCCTGACGCCGTCCTGACCAGCCTGCTTTCAGCTTAGCTTAGCTTATGCTGATTATGCCCCGGACCGAGCGAGACTGTCTCCGGTTACAGAGAGGAAAATCCTTTTCTCTTGACAGCCTGGCCATTTCACTGTGAAATAGCGGACATGGACACCTGGACTCGATGTTTCCTCGTAGAATGTAGAAATGTTTCACGTCCCGTTGAGTTACGTTGAATGCGGATGCGTGCGCTTGTGTGTGCGAGGGTTCAGTCTGTTCCCCATATCCACGCAGGAACATGCTGTCAGTCTCAGGGAGATAACGGCATTCCCCCAGAGATCGATGGGCATTTAGGGTGATTGACACGTGACTCTCCTGTGCTGCCACAGCAAGGCAGAGCTGACGAGAGCGTCCTTCAGTGCCTTAAGTTATGGCATTATATCGAATCCAGCCTAGCCTAGCAAGCCGGAATATGTGCTTCACATGCCAATCACGGGCACCAGGCAGCCTCCCCACCATAACACTTCCACCTACTGGGCTAGGGTGGAGTAGCTGCATAAGGTAGGGCCTTCATAACCCCCTCCAGGAAAAGGCCTCAAGATTACCTCAGTGCATCATTACTAAATGATCCATGTTCGACCATGCAGTGCAAATAAAGCAGGAATTCATTAATCTCTTTCTTCGTTGTTTTTTGTTTCCCAAGAACCAACCCGCACCACGTGTGAGAACCCCGGCACACCTCGCTACGGCTCCCTGAACAGGACCTCCGGATTCAAGGTACGGCCCGAGCAGCTCCGAGACCCGACCGCGGGTACGGGATGGGTCCGGAAGCTTCCTGAGGGCGATGGCCGAGGCGTGTCTTTGGGCAGCGAGGTGAAGAGAGGCAGTGATATATGGAGAGCAGTGATTGGCAGGTGGCTTCATCTCTGCAGGGAGGCGGGCACCAGAGTCAGCGTCTGTCAGCTGTGCAGTTCAGCTTGTCGCTTCCTAAGAGGTGTGGAGTGATAAACGTGTGTAGTCATAACAACTTTCAGGGGCCTACAAGCTGGGGGGGGGGGGGCATCGCTGGAGAGATGGGCCAGCCCCCCTCCCCCCAACACTGATATTACTTAATTCCTGATCGAAAAGAAAATCTGTGGTATTGCCCATCCCTGATTGGCAGGCAATGGTCAGGTGACTTACTCGGAATGCCGTTCCTGTAGTTTGGCTTTGAGGGTGTGTCCCAAAGCACTGCAACATGGGTGTCGTTCTCAACCAGAACAATGCTGGCGAGCGCTGAGCCGTGAAAATAGTTTGAAACATGGCACCACGAGACCTTTCCAACCCGAGACAGACATCAGCGTCAAAAACATGCAAGCTAAATTAGCGCCACCTATAGGTGTGTACAGCATAGTCGATCTCAGCGTTCTTATAAGGCCAGCAGCCCCGGTTCTGCCGAGTGTACCCAGGATAACGGTAAAATATCAACCTCTTCCGGCACATAAATCACTTGTCTCAGCCGAAGAAGCATAGGAAGGACTGGCTGCTCTGCAGCGGTCTAATGATATTGAAGAACGGCAAGGGAGAGGCCACGTCCCGCAGATAAACCCTGTGTCCTATTACTTGTCAGCCCGCTTCATTGTGAGACGAATGTATTAATCAATTAACGTGCGACAGCACTGTTATTCTGTGACGCCTCGCCATTCCATCTGTCCGGTTCTGTGGCGGGCTATCAAACGAGCGTCCTTGTAGGTACAATATACTGACCATGTCTGAGTGCTGCAGGGACCCCATGCAATCGACAAAGACGGTATAAAGCAATGAAGGGGATGAATATGGTTAATGTCCCTGTGTGTGTGCCTGAAGCCCTGCAAATAAGTTTTAGTTGCATCACAGCTGAATTTGCGGGAAGGCAGTGAAATCCTCCCTCGTGGAGATTCTGGCAGATCAGCTCCGAGAGTTTTTTTTTTTTTTTTTTATCAGCCCAGCTGAACTGCTCTGCTGGTTTATGTTAGTCTTTGCTGGTAATGGGATCCCAGTAGATACACTGGTGAGTAACAGACTGCACTGTAATCAACAGAGACCAATTATAAGTCTGAAGGTGAGTAAAGCACAAGTTGAGAGCAGTTAATAAGCTATACTGGCTCTAACTGGAATTTTCACTCGAGTCAATGTAATTTCGTGGTGTGTATCAGTATATTACGTGTAAGCTTCTGAAAATGTTGCTGTTATTATCTGGTACAAAGTTAAACGAGCAAACCATCTGCTCCTGGCCAGAATGTGAGTAGTGTTAGGGACACAGAAGGGAACGTAAGGAAGATGGCATCCCAGAGGCAGTGCTGTGTATTAACGGCACTGCTTTGCAGTTAAACTGCATGCACACATTGGCTGGTCGTACAGATGCCGGCACATTAATGGAAGCGGTTTTGAGGAACTCGTGTCCAACACGGAGCCGCCTTCCCTCCTCTGCCGCAGGTGGGCAGCGTGGTGCAGTTCCAGTGCCAATCCGGATACCTTCTCCAGGGATCCACCACCCGGCTGTGCCAAGCGGACCTCACCTGGAGCGGGACGCAGCCCGAGTGCATCCGTGAGTCTCCCTCTATCACACACAGGACTGGCCGTGGGTGTGCCGGTTCCGTTCGGGCTTCCAAATCAGTACGCCCACGCTCTTGGCACCTGGGGACTGCACCAGGCATGCTAAATGTATTTGTATTGCTTTGACATCAAACCAAACTGGAGCAGAAACTGAACCGGTCTGCTAACAGGCGGAATAATCGGTGCCAAACTAAGCCGCAGAGGGATGTGTGTTCTAAATGCATTCCAGAACTAAGAATGATCATTCCAGAAGTACCACACATCCTTTGTGATCTAGGAACTGAGCGGTGCCCAAGCTGGCCGGCCCCTCCTGGCCCAGCGGTCAGACCTTATCTCCACACAGACAGGCTCCCCGTTCCACCCGACTGCTCCACTGGCCCACGGGCCTCAGAACAGGCAGCCTGAACAAACGTGCCCTCTGACGTATGTGAACAGACTGACTATGATGGGATGGCCCTGTGCTGCATGGACCGCAGGCCTTGCTTGCTCCGACTATCCGAATAAAACTCATATTTAGTTTATTCCTAATTTTTCTCAATTACGCCAGCTGCATTTGCAGTCTGCGCAGTGTGGGGGCGCTACAGCACTGCAGCGATCTTTGCTGTCCTTTAGCACAAACAGTGGTGGGCGGTAACTGACCATTATCCACAGTTTAATGTCAGATCCATTAAACACCCTCCACCGCCAAGAAGCTACCCCCTTGGTATTTTTTTACTTTTCCTGAAATGGCACATTCAGGTGCAAATTTAACATCAAAGTGGATAAAATCTTGCTATTTAACAAGGGGCCGGCGCCACAGCACTCAGTTGGCTCTCTGATATGACATATTGCCTATTGCACGGATCCGTGGAGAGCATTCAGCATGAAGAGTACCTCTGGAAAGGATGTAAAGGTAGCTCATTCGGTCGAAATGCAGTCAGAGCAGGTAACTGTTTCTCAGAGGCACAGTGAGGATGTATTGATTGCTTGAGGGTGGGTGGTGACTGAAGGCCGGATCCTCTGCAGATCTAGTCAAGGCTGCTTTGAGTCCCCTTGGGTTCCACATATACAGCACAGAGACCGTGTGTAGTGTCCCCTTTCATGTGACTTTCAAGGGGCTCTGTCTTTCTCGGCTTTGAGGGGGGCCAGACTGCATGGCTCTTTATAACGGTCTGCCCTGCCACACCCCGTCTGCCCACAGCCCACTCCTGCAAGCAGCCGGAAAGCCCTCCCAACGTCAACGTGGTGGGCATGGACCTGCCCAGCTATGGGTACACCCTCCTCTACAGCTGCCAGCCTGGCTTCTTCCTGGCGGGTGGCTCCGAGCACCGGGTCTGCAAGTCCGACGGGACCTGGACTGGGAAGATGCCGGTGTGCCGAGGTGGGTCTGCAGCAACCTCGGCGACGGCAGAGTGCTCCCGCATCACTGGCCGCAAATCACTTCAGCATGTTAGCGCACATCCTTGCTTTAGACAGGAGAACTGGTTAGTGTCACTGGCTATGAAATGTTAGCATCATCTAGATACTGCAACTGGTATTTCCTAGCATTCGTACCAGTAGCTGCGTAACACCAGTTCAGCTGTCTGAAAAGCTGGTTCTCCATCTTTCAGATGTATTTGGGGTCGGCGCGGTTCTGTGTGTGCGAGGCGGCCCGGTTTCACAAGGCTGCTAGGAGAGAAGCAACGATACGGTGTCAGCCCAAATAGATACGGTCCGGGGTTCACAGTTAATGGGTACGCCGTAGATACCGAGCTGCACAGCTGCATACCTCAGGCTGCGTGGTAATTACCGGGAAAAACAGATGCGGTCGCTAGGGAGAATTTCGGGGGCGTTAAGACGGTGCAGGAAGTCTTCAAACCGTAGAGCGTACCTGCAGAATGTGGCCATTTGTCTTGCAGAACAAGGCTTTCATAACCGTATCGTACAGGGGTCGTGGACGGCGTCTTTCAGAAAGGAATAAGCTAGCTCTGTTTTACTGTGGCTTAGTGCTGAGCACCAGTACGACGTTTATGGAGAGTGTCTAATGTGTAATGCTTACAGCGTGTCTGTTTGTTTATCTTTAAGCTGGCTCAAAATTGTCGGAAAAAGCCCTTAAACCTGTGGCGGGAACGCCCAGCCCGAAACTGTACGGTAAGCTTTATTTTCCCTGCTGTCGCTAGCAGTTGTCAAGCCCTGGTTTTACAGTACAAACTCGAAAAGATAGAGCAAAGGGGGGTTGAGGGATGGGTGGGGGGGAAGCGTCCTCAGTACCAACAACTTGGGAAAAGCGAGACGGCAGTTTTATTTTGCCTTGTCACCATGCAGCACTTAAGAAAGTGGCCTTAATGTGCTTCAAAAGGCCTCCAGAGTAATATAGACTTAATGAGAGGTAAGAATTTTGCCGTGAGCTTGATGGTGAAGCGAGGAGACAGAGAAACACTTCTGTACAGCCATCTGGAGCCTGGTAGATAATCCCACTACAGTTTCTCTGACCTTCATACATCGGGATACTTGTTTAACATTCATCAGCTTAGAAATTCAGGTCTCGGTTTTGCGGCGCTTGTGCATAGCTCATCCCGAATATTTTGTGCCTTGCGTCACAGTTCCCGATGATGTCTTTGCCCCCAACTACATCTGGAAAGGTTCCTATAACTACAAGGGAAGGAAGCTGCCCATGTCCTTGATGATCACAAGCTTTAACAGGACCACGGGGAGGGTCAACGCTACGCTGGTCAACCGCAACGCGGAGCTCCTGCTCTCAGGTAGGACCGGCAGAGTGCTGATGGAGGAGGTCACCCACCAGTGCCAGGAGAATCCACTATGTCGTTTGCTTACCGCACGCCTCAAGTCCATATTTTTCCATGGTCTGGACATAATTGGCCGAATTAGAGAGACGCTGAGTACAGGGGATCTCCAGAGGACTCAGCTCTGGCCTCGCCGCACGGTCCTCTCTGTGAAACGCGCCTCAGTGTTGTGCTTTTTTGTATAATTTGATTTGAGAGTCTGCCAAAGGATGTACCAGTAAATAGATAAAATAGACATGTTTACTGGGGCTGCCGCTTCTGGCCAGGAACTGAAACAAGATGGATCTGCTATCTGAGGCACTCGGGGAAGCAGTCTGTGCCCCGCTGGTACTGCGGAGAGCGAGGAGGCGGCCGCACAGCCTCAGTGAAAGGGCAGCCCTCACAGCAGCAGAGATTAGCTGACTTAAAGGACCCGCCGTGACGACCGGTGCAGTGAGCGGCAGGTGGAGGGTTACATTATTGGGGATGTGAACGTGGACAGGGGAGCAGGGTTATGAACGCACACGCAAGAAGACTGTTAGTCACACAAGCAGGGTTATGCACGCAGACACATACATGTACGAAGACTGTTAGTGAGTGCAGCTTTGCCCCAACAGGCTAAAAAAGTTTTAAAAATTTATTTAGGTGAATTTTAATAAGGACAGCACAGGCTAGCTCAGTTGCCTCATAGCTCTGGGGTTACATGTTTAACATACATACTCCAGTTTCCTCCTCCAGTCCAAAGACATGCAGTCAGGCATTTAGACGGTATGTCTACATGCGGCCTTTATTTATTTAGCAATCATTTTTATCCTTAGCGGGGCATTGTATAAGGTCCCTCTGCCGGCCGTGGGATATGAACCAGCAACTTCTCAATCGTGAGTTCTAATCCACAGAGACACATATCACCCCCAAGCAGTTCAGAGCTGCCTGGATTGGGGTTTGCACCCATGCAGACAGACGCCTATTGGACCCTAAGTCCATCACCTTAACCACTAGGCCATCGTAGTAACAAAAGCCCTACCCTAGGATAAGCAGGTAGGAGGTGGATGGATGGATGGATGGATGGATGGATGTTCCATTTATGCATTAGAGAAGAGCAATATAATTTATAAAGTTAAAATAAAACAAAAATACGTCACTTGTGAGTTGCAGTGTAGCAGTGAATTCCGTTCGTTTTTCCAGCAGTTCCCCTTGTTAGCGCTCTAAGACATGTAATGTCATTTTAAAAATAAACAATTTCTCCTTCATAAGGGAACCTGATAGCAGGTGAGTGGCTCCCAAATTTCCCATCATCATCCCAGTCCATATGTGACATCAGTGAGTGTTGCGACTGGAACACGATTCACACCCTGCTAATTTGTCTCGCCCGTTTAAATGGACTTCTGACCATTTAGAATAATCAGATACAATTCCGAATGAAGTCCATCCAATTATTTTACAAAGCTGCCCCGGAGTTGGCAGACAGAACCGCAAACTCAGAGGCGGTGTTTGTTTGCTTGGTGGTGTTTTGTGTTTTTATACGTTTGTTTGTATCGACTCATTAAGCAATTCTCTCACGAGATGGGTGATTTGAACCAAAAAAAGGCTTTACTTCACAAATTAGGCCTGGCCTATATCTGTGTTTCTGTTCCATGTTTTGGGTCCCGGGGGCGGGTGGAGGGCAGGCCTCCCGTTACTCGAGTCTGAAAAGTCGTAATAAGCTCCATATGTGCCGTCCCTCTCTCTCTGAAATGCAGGCGTATACAAAAGTCAAGAAGCACGCCTGATGCTGCTCATGTACCACGTGAAGGCGTCTACTCACACTTCGCTGAGCAAAATGAAAGAGGAGGAGTGGTCCATGGATGGGTTTGTAAGTGCCCAGTGCCGCAGTTTGCTGGGATACTGGTTGCTTTCTCTGACAATTTGCACGCTGTAGCTGTTCGTTAGCCTGATGTCCTGTGATACCCGTGGCGACTCTGTATTACTTTACTGTCACCTGGCAGAATTTTGCCTGCTACATAATGGGTGTTATTATTCCCAAAGATGGCCGGGCTTTAAAAACATGACGTGACACATCGATTTGCACTCAGACGTGCGGAGATTCTGTTCGCAGCCGGCCTGTGGACACAGTTACACGATTATGAAATCTAGTCAAAATCAGTACGCAGAAGTGCCGCGTTTATGGAGAAAAGTCACGAAAATGTGTGGACCTTCACTAAGTAACATCTCCATGTTACCAGGTTTCCGCAGAACCGGACGGCGCCACCTATGTCTTTCAAGGCTTCATACAGGGTAAAGATTACGGCCAGTTCGGGCTGCAGAGACTAGGTAAACGATCGCTGATTCTTTGGACATGTTAATGAGATGCTGAGATCACCCCTAACCCCCCAGTAATCCTTATGAGAACAGATATAACCGCAGTATAAATAATTTAATGTTGAACATCATTGTTTTTAAAGTAAGCAGAAATAAATACCTTAAATTGCATTATACATTCTAAACTACAGAGCTTTTCAGCCGTGCACCTGTTTTAAGTGTCACCTGTATACTCTCAAATTGTTTACAGTTTATTCAAACTTCTGCTTCCATCTGCTAGGAACGGTTTTATTCCTCCTCCCCCCCTTTTGTTAGGATATGCTTTGCAATAATTGGGGCTCAGCCTGGGCCAGTCACAGCCGTCTGTTTGGTCTTTGCTAGCCGCTTTGGTCAACAGGAGTAAACAGTGCCACTCCTTGCATAATTGCATCTTAAACATTCTCCCCTTAGGTAGACAGGAGCCATTTGGATGATGCACTGTTCTCATTCAACAGGTTCACCTTTAAGTCCCTTTAGGTTCATGCCAACATGCTGCGGATTTTTCTAGAAGAGTCCCCCACGCTTCCAGACCTGGTTACGTTTGAGTTCAAAATGGCGGGAGGATCTACTGTTTCGCTTCCAACATGCAGTATTAGTGCAGTAATATGCTGGCAGCAACTGTATAATTCAGACTCATCTAACTGATCTGGATATATTTACCTCGCCATTATGTCACTGTTCTCCCTCATTATTTCCCAAGGGAACATTTCTGTTCTATGAGCTATATGTTGAATCCACAGTGACTCAGCCCCTCATCTGATTTCTACCAGATCGCAGAGAAATTAGTCAAGTTGTTTTTTAAATATTGCTAATGCTCACCGTTTAAATACAACACTAAACGGGCTATTGACCGCATCTCCGCAGTACCAAAATATTGGAAATTGCATTTTATAACTAAGAAGCTCAGCTGAAAACAAAATAGCGTGCTAAGCCCCTCCTATCTTGACGATTATTTTTATAAGCACTCATCTCTGCTGTCATCCTGTTCTTTCTGCAGGTCTGAACATGTCCGAGAGTAATAATTCGTCAAACCCCCCCCACGGTACGAACAGCAGCTCGGTGGCCATAGCGATCCTCGTGCCTTTCTTTGCTCTCATTTTCGCAGGCTTCGGATTTTATCTCTACAAACAGCGGTAAGTGCATCAGGTCCTCTGCATCCGGTAGCCTGACTCCGAGAGCCGGGCAAGCCCAGCAGCCTCCCTGACTCTCTTTGTGTGTCCCCCCCCCAGGACTACACCTAAAACCCAGTACACAGGCTGCTCTGTTCACGAGAACAACAACGGCCAGGCGGCCTTCGAGAACCCCATGTACAACACCAGCGCCAAGTCAGCGGAAGGGAAGGCGGTCCGATTCGACCCCAACCTGAACACAGTCTGCACAATGGTATAATGACGCCGGGGGGGGCGGAGACGGTACCATTTTTAAAACGCTTTGCATAACTGGATATCATGAACCCGGGAGGCCCGGCAGGCGCACGTCCACTGATATTTAAAGCACACTTTTCAGGAACCGATGGCTCATGTGCGTCCTGAGGATTCTGAGTCCGACATCATCTTTTAGAAGACTGAGGACGACAAAAAAAAACAAAAAACAAAAACAAAAAAAACAAACAAAACAAAACAACAACGACCTGTCTTCACCACCGGTGTGGAGAGTCCCTAAGCTACCTTATGTGCACTCTGCGAGTGCTTACTCACGATTGATTTGGTCTTTTTCAAAGTAAAAGGATCCTGTAAATCTTATTGCATATATATGAGGAGCGTTCACCACGTATATTTTTGTGTTATATATTATTACCACATGGGATCGGCCCAGGTAAAGAGGCTATATCGAGAGTTTATAAAAAAGATATTTCAGATATGCCGATCACACAAAGCGATGCACAAAATTATGTTACGATAAGCTTCCTGGTTTTGTTTTCTTTTGGGAATTTTACCATTTTCCATTGTAGCTGACAAACTGCTTGCTTTAAGTTTACACATTAGGGAGTTACTTCACTTTGAGTAAATTCAGTGTGTGGGGTGATTCCTTTTCAGTGTAAAAGGTGTAAAAATGGGCAAACTAACGTCTGAAGTATGTTTGAAGTGTGTTGTATCCCATTGGCTCAAAATGAAATATTTTCATATTTGTATTTGCTCAAAATCCTCTATATTTCTATTGTTACATCTCTTCCAACACTGTGGACATATATTGGTATTTTGGATCTTAAATCTGCGGAAATGGTCATCTCAAAAAGGAGAAACTTTGCAGCTAGCTGGAATTATAGTGTTGTCGTGTGCACTAAATGATACTGTAGGACACGTTTGAGCATAGCTGTGATGCGTAGCTATTTGGGTCATCCAGTCTGTGTCCAGCCACCACATCTATGTATTATATAGGTGATTCTGTTATTTAAATATTCTGGAGCTGGTATCACTTTTTGAAACACCCACACACACATCGAATAGTCAGCTCTGATTTATACGTAAAAATACACCCATCATGACAAAACAAGCATGCAGATGCACATATCACATGGCAACATCATCCAGTGAATTTGATACACAAGAATTGTAAGGGCCTGATTGGTTGATCGATGAAGGACAGGGTTGATTGGCCAGTGTGGGAGGTCTGACAATGAGCATTTATGTAACTGACAAGTATATAACTGACAAGCCTCTAACCTTGTCTTTTCTATGGTGGAAGAATCATTTGTCCATATAAAATGGTCAGTGAATAAACGGAGTTTATTCCGCCTCGTTGCTGTAAATCTAATTGTCCACTGAGACTTGGGGCACCATTTTCAGTGGTTGATTGAATTGGTTTGATTGATTGATTCTCCAATTAGGTTACATTTTTCTTAAGAATTTATCTCTCGTTGTAAATAAAGATAACAGACGCTTAGATTAGCTTTTCGTAGATATTCCTTTGTTCCTTTTTTACCAGCAAATTATTTATAACCAAGCTTGATTAAAACAAAATGTTTACATTTGTGCAAAGATAATTGTCAAAGTGTAACTTTGTAGCTTTGGTACCTCAATTTCCAGTGAATAGACTTGCACAACATAGGGAACATTTCCGGCAGGAGAAAAGATACATCGATGCCACCTGCAGAAGGATCCAACCAAAGGCGAAGTCACACTAACTGATGACCTGCGGCTGTTGCCATCCAGGAGTTCGCGTTGTGTTGGTTAGGAAACTAGCCAGCATTGAGGCGTGTTATATTTTACAGTGCCTTGTAAAATACTCATTGCGTGTCTCGGAAGTGAAATGGCATAAGATTATAGATTTCTCACAGGAAAAACGTATTTCTCAGAACTTTTTTTTTCCTTGGGAGAATCACTGTATTTCTCATTTTTTTATCACAGCAAACTATTTTTGTTATCTGAAAAATTTCTGCTAAAATTGCTACTGAATACACAAACACATAAAAAATGTAATAGTAGCAGGTCACACGAGAGATAATTGCAATTTCAGAGTGAAAAATAGATTACCAAGGGAGGTATGGAGGAGAAACAGTTAAAACATATAATCTTGTTTAAAGTGGTCCTCAGATACTTGGAGTGAAGATAAACCAAGACGTGTGTAAGACTACAGGGATCTATCTCTTCTAAATTAAATGGTGGGCCTTTAAAAGATGATTCATTGTAAGAAAAATCTTGTTTTTATTTGGTGGATAGAAACCTGAGAATCGTGAGATCTTACTGCAATTTTCCATTACTGCCATTATACCAATATTATTATACACATCAATCAATCTAAAATCAATTAAATCAATCTTTCATTGCAAGTTTGTTCATTAAAAAGAAAAAAAAAAACAGTCTTTTTTCCATTATTATTTTTGGTGTTGCAGTTTGTTGTCAAGCATTCCCAGTTGCCATAATGTTATTTTGAAGGATATGTATCTTTCTCATTCTAACACTGTGCCTATCAAAAACCATTTTGACCTTAGGGTGCTGCTCTATCAACTTCTGACATCCCATAATTCATTTTGCATCATTGCCTCACTCATGGGCTTCGTATTTAAAATATTTTGTTACTCAACCGCTTTCCACCCCAGAAACGTGATATTGTGTGTTTAAAGCTAATTCCCTTGCCCCCCTCCCCCTTAGCTTTTCCTATAAATGACTGCAATAAAATCCCTGCCATTTCGGAATGAACACTTTCAATCAATGTGGAAGGCTATTTGCAGTACAGCTGGGTACTCCTCCTATGTTAATGCATTCAGAATAAATATAAAAAAGGAAAACAACACTGAAAAAAATCTTTTTGTAAAGAAATATATTTTTATTAAAAAAAATTTGTAAAATGTATGAATCTATTATGTAAATTTTCAATGCAATGTAAGATTAAAAAAGGCTAATTGCTTTTGTAATGTGTTGCTCCTTTATTGTTCCTGACACGATACACACAGAAGTCACACGATCCATAAACGCGGGTCGGTAAGAGAATGATGTTGCTACAAACTCTGCTCTTCAGTGCAGGACTTCACCAGATGCTTCCTGGTATCGGTGCGGCATGACACAAGGCGAGCGCTGCTTCCCAAAATCGGGTGATTTAAGTCGGAAAAAGGCGGGGTGATTCTCTTTGCCCCCTTACACCCCTTTCCTGGCATCGGTGGGAGCCTTTGAATGCACGGAGCACGCGGACGTGATCCGCATTCGGAGTGCTGAGCTTATTCTCGGGGACGGAGCTCCCATTGTAGCGGCCCAAGGACGAGCTTGTTAGACCTTTAGTGTGCTCCTCATCAGTAGGCGAGTCCCGGCCGTGTGGAAGCCGGGATTGGCCACGCCGTATCTTTTTTTGTCGATGCAAGATATAAAATGGAAATTGGGCCGAAAGAAACGTGGCCCCTTTTGCTGGTCTCCTGTCACTCAGTGGGCCCCCCTTACATTTGCACAGTGCACTTTTAAAATCCGTTTACTTCTTAAACGTACCAAGATGAAGAATTAATAACACATGTTAGGGAGGTTTGAGTTTTTGCACCGGGATGTTAGGGGAGGGCGAAGCCCCGTCTCTAACAGGGATGCACCCCTTACCGACATGACAGCCATCCATTCGGGACGCTTCCGGCGCTGGGCTGCGTGACGGAGGCCGGCGGAGTCTGAATGGCGGCTTTATCTCTACAGGCTGACCTGTAAAGTCAGTTAACATACTCTAGCTTAAATTCTTTCCTTTTAGGTTTTGTGTTTTAAGAAAAATAAACACTGTATCTGTCAGTCATTTATTTTGGGGTTTTTATTTTTGTGATTTTGTTTTTATATATCACTGGGGCAGTGTACCCTCAAGGGTCTGCCAATTGTACCCTAGCTGTAGGTATTTGCACCTTTTAAGGTACAGAAATGGACTATGGGGAACGTTTTTGTACCATTGGGTGTACATTCATGTTGTTTGTAAAGGTACAGAACTGCAAGGTACAGCCCCAGTGAAAAGCAAAGGTACAAACTGGTACCTTTTTTTCTGAGAGTGTAGGTGTCGTACTGTCAGAAGGACTAGGATTAGGACTAGGATTATAATGCCATTTTAACATTTATGGCTGTCTTTAATTCCACACCATGTTATACTTTAGGGGACAAGCTGTTTTATTTATGTAACTACAAACAATATCACTTATAATAGAGCATCAACAGAATCTACTAACGTTCCACACTTGGATAATTAAATGTGTGTTGTTTTTTTCAAACTACAAATAAAAATGAATATGTTAATATTTCAGGATACTTCCATAGAAAGCTTTCGGTATTAATGTGAACTGTGTGGCTTAGCTCTTTCCCTGTTCCACCACAAATGATTCAGCTCAAGTGCCGTGTGGTAATTAGCACAAGAAGTTGAATCAGGTGTGTTAAATGAGAGAAAACCCAATAATATGTAGGGCTCCGGCCCCCCAGCACTGCAGTTTGACACCCCTGTCAGTGAAGATCCACATTTCATGTAGCGTGCGTGTCCATGGAGCTACCCTCAGGTCAGCCACTGCCAGCCTCCGAAGCTGCAGGTAAGGTCTGTGCGATGAGCAGGAGTATGAGGAGAACTTCTCAAAAGTGGCAGCAGATGCATTAACACCACATCCACGTCCTACTTCCATGCCCTAATCTTTACCCTTTGCCATTGCATTTGCATCTTGCAACCAAGCGCACTACAAGAAATGAGTCCATGAAGGAAAATTCTATTTTACCCTTGAGTGTGGAATCCATCCATCCATCATCAAGCCTCTTATCCTGCACAGGGTCACCGGGTTGAGTGCGATACTTATCTTTGATTTAATTTAACCGCACCATTAAATACCAGCTACTAAAATTCAGTAAAGAGTACAATGGTAAGTTTAATTAGCATGGTAATGGCAGCCAATCACTACATTTGGGCAGCCAGTGTGGCAAAGGTGAACCCCATAAACCGAGGGGCCAGGAACAGCGATCACATTGCAGCACAGGGATCCCTCCCCATCATCTGTGGAGGATAGTGGCAGCAGCCCTCTGTCCTCTGCCTGTCTAAGCCATCAGCTCGCCTTTCATTCTGGGTAGCATGACGACTCAGCAGTTTGCCTTATGAGCATCCAAATGCAATTCTGGAGCACTTCCAGCCTTTGTGGGTGATCCCTACAGGCCTGGCCTGTGTCTGACAGATGGTTCC